CTTAATGAGGCTTTGCAACTTCTCCTGGATTATCTGTGAGGGTGGCAATTAAGAATGTTGATTTTCCTTTGTAAGCCTCATCTTCCCACTTAGGACATGTGACTAGGATAGGATTTGCTCAGGGTTTCTCTCCTGAGGGTCCCAGGGAAAACTAATTTGGGATCATTTCAGATACACCAATTCTATTTATTAATATACTTTAAGCTCAGGTATCATAATGGTATAAATAATATAAACTGATCCAGGAGTGAGTCCCTTCCTGACTCTTTAAATGAGAAGCATTCATTAAGAGAGTCAATCTGGCCTAGAGACAAAAATAAGACCCACAGGAAAAACAAGTGTAATACAAACATTACAGTCCTCATTAAGGAGACAAAAGCCTTCCTGAACTCTGCAGGGCCCAGGGCAGAGCCTCAGCAACTGAGGGGATATAGGCAGGCCAGACAGCAAGACATCAAGGGGTCTTGAGAGCATGTATAGCCCCTGTTCAGTAGCCCTGACTTCATTCAGGCTCTGGAACTGCTCCAGGCTATGGCAAACTGCTGGAGAAATAAGACCATAGACTTGAAATTTTCTGAAATACAATAAAGATTTTTTTGCTCTTTACTAAAAAAAAAAAAAAAAAAAACTGCCTGAAGAAAAAAATCAGAGAATGGTCCTGAAGTTAGGTAATCTCAGGTAACTGCTTCATTTCAGTTAATAATATACCATAATTTCTCTACACATGGGTTTATCTCAAGATCCCAGCTACCCCACCCCTCCCACTTACCAGAAATTATTTTGGGATCTTGGAGGAAGGGCCCTGTATTCTCAAACTTCCTGTATATATTTGAAATGAAATTTCAAGTTTGCAAGTTTGACAGTGGGAGAGCAACAGGAATCTAAGCACAATACGCATTTGCAAAAAGATACAAACATACATTTTGAAATCAAGGGACTCACAGTAAACAAGGCAAAATAGGCACATGAAAGAAGATTCATTTATTTGAAAAGGGAGTATCTGGAGATAGGAAAAACCAAAGGTGTTTTTTCCTACTTTCTTTTTTTTTGCAGAGACAAGGTCTCACTATGTTGCCCAGGCTGATCTAGAACTGCCCCTATCCTGAGACTTTCTTTTTTTTCTTTTTTCTTTTTTTTTGTTTTGAGACAGAGTTTTGCTCTTGCTGCCCAGTCTGGAGTGCAATGGCATGATCTTGGCTCACCGCAACCTCCGTCTCCTGAATTCAAGCGATTCTCCTTCCTCAGCCTCCGGGGTAGCTGGGATTACAGGCATGCGCCACCACACCCAACTAATTTTGCATTTTTAGTAGAAATGGGGTTTCTCAATGTTGGTCAGGCTGGGGACCCCAGCCACCAGTCATCACATGAGCATACAAAAGACACAACTTGGCAGACAGATTCTGCTGGATGTCAGGGATTGGGGATACAGACCAAACATGTATTTCACAGTATGATAGAACCTTATTTTTTGCATCTTAGCAAAAGTGACAAACACAGTGGGGAAAGGACACTGATTTCCCTCATGCCATTATGAGAAAAATATCTGAGTCAGTACACAGTAACACACAGCAAAGGCAAAGTTATTTCAGAGATAATTTGTAACTGCCAAAATTTTCCTCAAATTCTTTTCCCTTTTTACTATGACCCAAGCTGTGCACACATTTCTGCCTCTGCATCCTTGATTGTACCTTTTGCAAATAGAGTCAATTTGCGTTATTTGTGGTACTTATGTTCCATAAAGTCCACAATCACTGAATTAGTGAATACCAAACCACTGCTCGTAGAAAACATACAGGGTTAAGTTTCTGCAAGCTTTGATGTTGTCAATTGATCAATACAACATATTGTTGATTCAGTAGCACTGAATTATCTGCCAACAGCATTGTAACTCAAGCAAGAATGAAACTTATCTAAGACACTTATTTTGTCCTTAAGGCCCATCACACTCTTCTTGAGTTTAGGAACATTAGCACTCCAGCAGGACATTTTGATGGCATTTTAAACAGTGAAATCACCAACAAAATAGAACAGAAATGAGGAAGACATGGCACCAAGTAGACTCAAAAAGGATACATGTTTACAGTATGAGAGCTGAAATTAGAAGGCAGGGTGCCATTTGTTTGACTTCTGCTGGGAGGTAACTCAATTTTTGCCTGTGAATGGCTTCAAAAGCACTTGTGAAAATACTGGTTCTGGGGTTATGGACAGATTTGAGCAAGCAGGCAAATTTACAAATACAAAATCCACAAATAATGAGGATGTTTCAATTCTTTCAATGTGGCTGGGAAGCACAATTGCCTCAATAGGGCAGCCAGAAATCAGGACTAGGAATTTACCAAAAGAGAACCTAGTCCTTTTTTTTTTTTTTTTTTTTTTTTGAGATGGAGTTTTTCACTCTTGTTACCCAGGCTGGAGTGCAATGGCGCGATCTCGGCCCACCGCAACCTCCGCCTCCTGGGTTCAGGCAATTCTCCTGCCTCAACCTCCTGAGTAGCTGGAACTACAGGCACGAGCCACCATGCCCAGCTAATTTTTTGTATTTTTAGTAGAGATGGGGTTTCACCACGTTGACCAGGATGGTCTCGATCTCTTGACCTCGTGATCCACCCGCCTCGGCCTCCCAAAGTGCTGGGATTACAGGCTTCAGCCACCGCGCCCGGCCAAGAACCTAGTCTTAACTGCCATCTTCTATGTCTAAAATAAATTCTCAGGGAACTGTAGTAACACGACAACCAGAACTCTTACCTCTGTACACTGTACATTTTTTATACTGAAAAACGTCATAACTTCATTAAGTAGGTAAACTAAAATTTAAGAGACATCAATCAAATAAATGATGAATGAATTTCACTTTAGTTTTTATTTTACTATAAAACACTGAGATGGAATGATAGGGTTTCCCAGAATCAGGCCCATATTTTAACTAAATGAAAATTTATGATTTATAGCCTTCTCAAATACCTGTCATACTTGCTATCTCAACCAGAGCTAATTTTATCTCTTTACAAATTAAACAAGCAAATAACTGGATCCACAATTTACAATAACTGTCCATTTTTCCGGTATTAAACCTCTATCGTAGTTTAAGCCTATGAGGGTACTTAATACTTATAAATAAAGAAGTTTAAAATCACCTCTATAGGCAACTGCCCTTCTGGTTTTCTTCTTTGACTAAACAAACTTAATGCTTAAGATTTTCTACTTTGGGTGCTAGCAGTATACAATGCTACACTCTATATTCCAGACTTCTTAGAAATTATAGAAAAAGGAATATACACATTTTGTATTCTTTCCAAGCAGGGGTGGGAGGCATATCATCTACCATGTTAGGTACTTCTATGCATGGATTATTCTACTGCATATATTTCAAGTTGCCCCCTTTTCTTTTTCAACCACACATTAACTCAGCATCAATGTATGCTCCATTAGAATAAAATTTATTAACTAGGAGTTGCCAGAAGACCTTCCCAGTATCAATGAAGTCCCATGTTGTGAGTCCTAAAATTCTTCTGAAGAGAAAACCATATATATGGCCTTTGTTTAGATGCTCACAGAGGTCTAAAATCCTCTCCGCCTCCAAAATATTAAGAAATAGCTGGGCGCAGTGGCTCACGCCTGTAATTCCAGAACTTTGGGAGGCTGAGGTGGGCAGATCACTTGAGGCCAGGAGTTCGAGATCAACCTGGCCAACATGGTCAAACCCTGTCTCTATTAAAAGTACAAAACTTAACTGGGCGTGGTGGTACTATGCCTGTAGTCCCAGCTACTGAGGACGGTGAGGTAGGAGAACTGCTGGAACACGAGACAGAGGTTGCAGTGAGCCGAGATTGTGCCACTGCATTCCAGCCTGGGTGCTGGGTGACAGAGATTCTTAAAAAAAAAAAAAAAAAAAAGCCGGGTGCAGTGGCTCAAGCCTGTAATCCCAACACAACACTTTGGGAGGCCGAGGCGGGTGGATCACGAGGTCAAGAGATCAAGACCATCCTGGTCAACATGGTGAAACCCCGTCTCTACTAAAAATACAAAAAATTAGCTGGGCATGGTGGCGCATGCCTGTAATCCCAGCTACTCAGGAGGCTGAGGCAGGAGAATTGCTTGAACCCAGGAGGCGGAGGTTGCGGTGAGCCAAGATCGCGCCATTGCACTCCAGCCTGGGTAACAAGAGCAAAACTCTGTCTCAAAAAAAAAAAAAAAAGCTGGGCACAGTGGCTCACACTTGTAATCCCAGCACTTTGGGAGGCCAACACAGGTAGATCACTTGAGGTCAGAAGTTCCAGACCAGCCTGCCCAACATGGTGAAACCCTGTCTCTACTAAAAATAGAAAAATTAGCTGGGGGTGATGGTGTGCACTTGCAATCCCAGCTACTTGGAGGCTGAGGCAGAAGAACAGCTTGAACCCAGGAGCTGGAGGTTGCAGTGAGCTGAGATTGTGTCACTGCACTGCAGCCTGGGAGACAGAGTTAGACTTCTTCTCAACAAAGAAAAAATAAATCATCTCACTGATCCTCTCACTTTACAAAACAGTAACATGCAGTATTGTTTAGTTTAATTTGACATCATTTAGCAACTAACACTATCCTCCAAAGTTCTGGCAGCCCTTACAAACTGTAACTTTATAAACAGAGACAGGCACTTTGGTTTTAGTTTAATACTTTCACAATTAAACATACTGCATTTATAGTATTTAAAAGATTTTAATTACGGTCAAATATATCTGGATTTACAGCTTTTTTGTTTGTTTGTTTTGTTTTTTTGAGACAGAGTTTCGCTCTTGTTGCCCAGGCTAGAGTGCAAAAGGGCGATCTCAACTCACTGCAATCTCTGTCTCCCAGGTTCAAGCAAGTCTCTTGCCTCGCCTCCCAAGTAGCTGGGATTACAGGGACCCAGCATCACATCCAGCTAATTTTTTTTTGTATTTTTTAGTAGAGATGGGATTTGACCACGTTGGCCAGGCTGGTTTCGAACTTCTGACCTCAGGTGATCCACCTAGCCTGGCCTCCCAAAGTGCTGGGATTACACACATGAGCCACCATGCCTGGCCTGGATTACAACTTAACCTACAATATTTCATGAAGTTCATAATTTTAAATAAAGGCAAATCAAATAATACCTGAATTTCTAAGTCTAAATACATTAAGGTGATAGTGACTCTTGCAACTGTTTCAAAATTATTGGAAAATATGTCACTTTCTTGAAATGAACTTGCTAGAAAAGGCAACAAATAGGTCTTTATAAGGAGTTTCTGAATCTGACTTGGTTGATGGTATTCGGCAAAGGTGGCGAAATCCAGGAGAACGCAGCAGCAAGTTCTGTGAAAGGCCCATGAAACTGGAGCATAACCAGTAGAGAACAAGTGACTATAAAGAGAAGACATAAATGTTAGCATCTGTAAGTCTGCAAGGACATCACAGTCCAGACACAGGCAATAAAAAAGAAAATGACAATCTTTGCAAATAGAAGTATGCCAAGACTGAGCAAGACTTGCAGCAGCTATCAGATTGCTGTGATGGACTTAATAGACAGGTAAAAAAGGTTACAGACAGACCAAAAAGCAAAAATAAAGGCAAAAGAGAAGTATTTAGGGTAGAAAGTAAAAAGAGAGAAGCTCCTAGGCAGAGGCTCAAGAAAGATCTCATCTCCCTTCTTTGGCAATGGAGCATACTTTTTTCTCACCAAGAGTCCTGTCTAGCTACTTACATACTGAAGGTAGAATACTGGAGGTGTGGCATTTATGATGGCAAACTTAGCCTCCCTAGATCTCATTTTCCCCATATACTCATCTATCATCCAAATTTTTCCCAACAGCCAGTTTCTCAGTGTAGTCAGGAATGTATTTCTTTGCCTTTTTCTGAGACAGCCTCATGATTATCTTCAATTTTCTTTTGTATTACCATCTTGACCAGTAGTCCCCAACCTTTTTGGCACTAGGGACCAATTTTTCCACAGATGGGAGGAAGATTTTGGGGATGAAACTGTTCCATTCCTCATATCATGAGGAATGAGACTCACATAAGGAGTGCACAACCTAGATTCCTCAAACGTGCAATTCACAATAGAGTTTGTGCTCCTATGAGAATCTAATGCTGCTGATCTGACAGGAGGCAGAGCTCAGGTGGTAAGGCTCACTTGCCCACCACTCACCTCCTGCTGTGCAGCCTGGTTCCTAACAGGCTATGGACTGGTACTGGTCTGTGGCCCTGGGTGACTATTTATTTAGGTCAATAACTAAGTTCTACAACCTCTCGAAATACTCCTAAACTTACCCCTGTTCCAGACTTTTCTTTGGCATCAGAAGGTAATCAGGCCCCAGAAACAAAACCATGTAGTTGTTAAGTCTGGGTTCTGGAGTCAAACTGCTTGAGTTTGACTCCTATCTGCCATCTATTTGACTTTGAGTAAGTTATTTTTCTTCTGTTCCAGTTTCCTCAGCTATAAAGTAGAGACAGTAACTGTATCTACCTCAGAGGATTGCTATGAGGAATAAATGAGATAATTCATATAGAGTGGTATGCAAGTATATGGTCCACATTCGGCACCTGTGTTTGTCATTTGTTCCAAAGTCAGCCTTCAGGGGCAGAAAGCAGCACATCCTCAAAGGCAGATTACCACAGTAGTTAAGAGGAGGAGCCAAACTGCTTAGATGTATGTTAAGATTCTATCACTTATAGCTAAGTGGCCTTGGATGAGTTACTTAACTTCTCTTTTCTCAGTTTCCTCTTCACCAAGTGGACATTATAATAGTACCTTTATCGCTGCACTGTTGGGAGAATTATATGGGGTAACATATGCAAACCATTTAAAATAGTGCTTAGTACAAAGTCAATGTTAAATAAATATTGGCCATCATCATCATCTGACTTATCCACCAGCAGAAAAAACAAGCTGAGCCCAACTATAGCAGACTATAAGTTGCCATCTAAGTATCAATCTCCCCTCTTACTTAGTAACAAAATCCTAATTTTTAGTTGGGTACACTGTCATCTGGAAAAAAAAAAAAAGGACTCTATTTCCTTGTCTCTTTTGCAGCGAGGAGTAGCCATAAAACTAAGATGCAAACACAACTGTTTGGTGGAACATCTGGCAAGGTTCCTTAAAAGGGGCTGATGGCACTTGAGGCACCCTTTACTATTCCTGCATGATAACAAGGTCTAGCAGCCATGACCATAGCGTAGCCTTGAAAGCACAGGCTGTGGATAATAAATCAGAAAGAGAGCAGCAGTCTGGGTCTCTCATCTTCATGGACTTGCCCCATCATCCCTCAGCTGCCTAACCAGATTTCCTATAATTGAGAGGACAAATTTTGGCTTATTAAGACATTGTGTTTTAGATATCTTGTTATTCATTTTGAACTCAATCCTCACTAAAACTTCACTGCTCGTATTTTATTCAATTTGGGGCAGTTCTTCAGTTATAACTGGTATGATTTCTCTGTGGAAATGCAGTGAATCTGTGCTGTTCTACTTTTACAGGGTATTTTACAACATTACAACTGTTATGTAAAAAGTTCTACAATAGGCACTTATTTCATTAATTCTCATAGGCATTATGGTATCTATTTTAGAGAAGTGCAAACTTATTCTGCACAGGATTAATGATAGTATCATGTCCAGTAACAACCTAAAAAATACATTTTGATATCAAAAACATATTGTTTCAGATTCCTATAAAGAACACAGTGGGCCAGGCATGGTGGCTCACACCTGTAATCCCAGCACTTTGGAAGACCAAGACAGGTGGATCACCTGAGATCAGGAGTTCGAGACCAGCCTGGCCAACACAGCGAATCCCTGTCTCTACTAAAAATACAAAAACTAGCTAGGCATGGTGGTGTGTGTATATAATCCCAGGTATTAGGGAGGATGAGGCAGGAGAATCACTTGAACCCAGGAGGTGGAGGTGGCAGTGAGCTAAGATTGCGCCACTGCACTCCAGTCTGGGCAAGGAGTGATGAGCCAAACTCCAGCTCAAAAAAAAAAAAAAAAAAAAAATACTGTGAAGTCGTTTTATATACGATACACTCTAACTATGAACAACAACTGAATTCTACTTTATGTGTTGGCTCTGAGTAAACATGGAGATAAATCTAACATAGCTTTTGCCTCCTTAGAAACTTCTAAAGTAAGGCCAGGTGCGGTGGCTCAAGCCTGTAATCCCAGCACGTTAGGAGGCCGAGGCGGGTGGATCATGAGGTCAAGAGATCGAGACCATCCTGGTCAACATGGTGAAACCCTGTCTCTACTAAAAATACAAAACAAAATTAGCTGGGCATGGTGGCGCGTGCCTGTAATCCCAGGTACTCAGGAGGCTGAGGCAGGAGAATTGCCTGAACCCAGGAGGCGGAGGTTGTGGTGAGCCGAGATCGTGCCATCGCACTCCAGCCTGGGTAACAAGAGTGAAACTCCGTCTTAAAAAAAAAAAAAAAAGAAACTTCTAAAGTATCCATGCGAAACATGCAAAAGACTGACCTAACTGCAAACATAACCATTTCTTTTTCTATTTCTATAAAGTTTAAATCAGTATATACAGGGACAAGTTTACCGTCATAGAGTTGTTACGAGATTAAATAATACCAGAAATGAACCCTAACGGTCTTAGCACTTTGTTTTGTTTCTTTTATAAGTGCCAAATTCCTTGGTCCAGTCTACATAGGCACAACTAATTCAATATACCAAGTAGTCAAATGGAACAAATACTATATTCATGGTATTGTGTAAAACATTTTGCAGGATTTTTTTTAAAAAGGCAAGAAATAGAGACAGATTAGTTACTACAGCAACTCTGATTCAGTAAGGGATCAGGTAGTCAGAGGAAGTTCAACAGAACAGGCAGGTTTCCAGCCAGTCTAAGCTAAAGTCAGAGAGGATTTAGCACATGCTACACACAAAGTTGGTGTTTACTCACCGAGGGCATCGCTGCAGCAATTGGAATCATCAACACTGACACTGCACGGACAAAGTATGTAATATATGTTTGAAAACGAGACATTCCAATTTTTTGTAGAGCATAAATCTGAAGGGGTAGAACGTATACATGCATAATGATTATTAAAATGTATATTAAATCAGACAAGCTTTAACATATAAACTGATTTTTGACTGGCCTCCATCTACACTTTAATAAAAGCAAAAAACATATATATATATATATATATATATATATATATATATATATATAAAACACTGATTAATTTCTATGGCTGATCATTTTTTATATTTTGAGACTGGGTCTTGCTATCAAACAGACCACTTTGAGGCTGATCTCAAACTCTCAAACTCCTGGGCTCCGGTGATCCTCCCACCTCCTCCTCCCAAGTAGCTGGGATAACAGGCATGCACCAACCACTGCACTCAGCTTGGTCATCCATTTTAAAACTCTTAATAACTGGCCTAGGTGAAAGGACCACTCCAGCCCAGGAGTTTGAGGCTACAGTGAGCTATAATCATGCCACTAAACTCCAGCCTGGGCAACAGAACAAGATCCTGTCTCTTAAAAAAATAAAAAAAAAAAAAAACACTTACTAATTATGTGAAATTCTTAAATGAAGGATTTTTGACACTTTGTACCAAAACACAAGTGCAATGATTTATATGATAGCTATTGTCATAGGATTCTTCAAGCTCCACTTAAGAATTCCGCATAAGGATGGCGGGGGTGGCGGTGGGGGTGCGGGGGCAGTAATCCCAGCACTGTGGGAGGCCCAGGCAGGCTGATCGTTTGATCTGAGGAGTTTGAGACCAGCCTAGGCAACACAATGAAACAGTCTCTACAAAAAATACAAAAATTAGCTGGGCATGGTGGCATGTGTCTGTAGTCCCAGCTACTCGGGGAAAAAGGCTGAGGTGGGAGGATTGCTTGAGCCCAGGAGGCACAGGTTGCAGTGAGTTGAGATCACACCACTGTACTAGTGACAGAGTAAGATCGTCTCCACAAAAAAGAAAAGAAGGGGGGAAAAGAGACTTCTGCATAATTATGATTCTAGAGCCAAACTATGTCGTTTTACATTTTTATGCCTCACTTTCTCCATATTAAAAAAGGATAATATTTAGTTTACAGGGTTATTCTAAGAAGTAAATGAGTTGATTCATATAACGATGCCTTACGGCTGGGCACAGTGGCTAACACCTGTAATCCCAGCATTTTAGGAAGCTAGGGCAGCAGACCACTTGAGGTCAGGAGTTCCAGACCAGCCTGGCCAACATGGTGAAACCTCGTCTCTACTAAAAATACAAAAAATTAGCTGGGCAAGGTGGTGGGCACCTGTCATCCCATCTACTCAGGAGGCTGAGGCAGGAGAATCACTTGAACCTGGGAGACGAAGGATGCAGTGAATAGAGATCATACCACTGCGCTCCAGCCTGGGCAACAGAGTGAGACTCTGTCTCAAGAAAAACAAAACAAAACAAAACAATGAGCACATAGTGGATGTTAAGTAAGAATAAGCTTTCATTTTTTTCTTTTAGAGATGAGGTCTCCTGTTGCTGAGGCTGGAGTATAGTGATGGGATCACAGCTCACTGCAGCCTCCATCTCTTGGGTTCAAGCAATCCTCCTGACTCAGCCTCCGAGTAGCTGGAACTAGAGGCACACGCCACCATGCCCCACTTAACTTTTATTAGTCCTTAGATAATATAGAGGAAAAGACTAGAGGATTGACATTGATTCACTATAAGCTTGTGCTTATCACTTCCTTCTTTCTACCAAATATTTACTGACTATCAACCACAGTGACTGTGCTACATGCACTTAGGGAAACATATTTGGACTACAGGTGGAGTCTTTTCTCAAGAAACTTTCACTCAAGACCTTATACTCTAACATCTTCATTGTTCTTATCTGAAAAAAATAAGGGTTATATTAGATTTCACAAACAGGGGTCAGTGGTCATGAGGTCTAGGAGATCTATACTGAGATAAATCATTTTTAAGATTTCTTCCAGTTCAGTCTGTTCTACTCAGAGTCTGAGAACAATTTATGAAATTATATGCACAGTTTCCTAGAACTGCTGAGTAAAGCAGCCTGCGATAAGAGTTAAGACATGACTGGGAGGGCTGAGCACAGTGCTCACACCTGAAATCCCAGTGCTTTGGGAGACTAAGGTGGGTGGATCACCTGAGATCAGGAGTTCAAGACCAGCCTGACCAACATGGTGAAACCCTGACTCTACTAAAAATACAAAAATTAGCCGAGTGTAGTGGCATGTGCCTGTGATCCCAGCTACTCGGGAGGTGGAGGTTGCAGTGAGCCAAGACCACGCCATTGTACTCCAGCCTGGGCAACAAGAGCAAAACTCTGTCTCAAAAAAAAAAGACATGACTGAAAGGTCACATTTGCTATGTATGTTTTTCCCATTTCATCTTATAAAGACATTCAATGACTTTTCTAAGGTCATAAAGCAAGAAAATGGCAGTCAGCGCCTGATTGTATTCCCCGCTACAAATTCAAATATTAAACACCCACACGGAACACCACTCTAATAATCAGATTGGGGACCTTCATTACTGTTTTTACCAAAAGCAAATCACAAAATTCAGAATCATATAATTTTGAAGCTGAAAGAGACTTGGAAATGTACTAATTCAGTGCTTTTAATTTCGAGAGTTTTGAGGCCCAGAGAGGTTAAGGGACAGGCCTAAGCCAATGTCTGACCTAGAACCAGGAACCAAGGTATCTCACTTCTAAGTTAGAGCTATCTTCACCAACTCAAAACAAAAATATATTTAATGTCAGAACAGCAGCAACAAAACCCCCAATAAATGGCAAACAAATTTCATTTAAAACCACTGACCTCCACTATTAATAAATTGATGACACCAACAGAGATAGGCAGAATCCAAGTGGAGTCCGGTGCAGTGAGGTCAGGAAACCACAGAATCCCGCCAGTAGCTAACTGATCCGGAACAGAAAAACCTGCTGAAATAGTTTTACAAATAAAACAATAGAAGTCCTAAAAACAGCAGAGAAAAATATATTAGACATAAATAAGAAGTCTAACGATTCCAATAAGGTATCCCTCACTGGAAAGATCTGCACTAATTTTATTTTGGTTTTTCACTCACAATATATATATTTTTTCTCAATACAAAATGTTGTTCTCAACACAATCAGTCGTTCACACTTAAGACTTTAGGTTCTACACCCTTATAAGGAAGAGAGTAAATGTATCCTAATTATGAAAAGTATGTGTTTTTTTGTTTTTGTTTTTTTAGTACAAAGACAATGCTAGAGAACTTATTTGGGAGAAGACTTCTAAAATAATTACCTTCTGAATGTGTTGCCCCTGTGCTAAAATTCCGGAGAGCAACAGACATGAAGATCCATACTGGAATCTGAATCCAAACCAACACAGTGGCTTTGAAAGGGTGGCAGTTATCTCGCACATATATCTCTGAAACTAGCCTCCTCATATTCTTTAGATAAGTGAGCCTACATTGAGATGAGTGGAAAAAAAGGGAAAAGAGAAAATGTCATTTGACTAAGAACTGCGCTTTATTCCCAAAGCATAAATAGCTCCTGCTGTAGATATTAGCTAAAGGATTTGTATAAGGGTTTCAGCTGTCACAGCTATGTTAAGGGGATGCCTAAACAACAGGCAAATAAGTCCTTTTATCAAAATTCCTACAGTATTGTACACAAGTTACATAACAATCTGAAATTGTCAGACTACAGGCTTTGTCTCTGGTGAAGGTCTTTGGCTGATTAGGCTTTAACAGTGAATTTCACTACTGATATAGTATAACTATAATTAATATTAGAAATATAAAAGCTAAAAGCAAATTTTAATCAAGTCTCTCTACTCCAGCCAAACTTAATGACTTTCATCCCTTAATACTGTGTATGCTCTTGGCCTGTCAAAATAGTCTCCATTGTTCAATTAACTATCTCACAAAGACATTTTTAATCTGTTTCTCTGTTAACCATATTAGTTACTACTGTTTCTTTCCTAAAATCTTGCTTTCTACCCCAGGCGTCCCCAAACTACGGCCCGCGGGCCGCATGCGGCCCCCTGAGGCCATTTATCCGCCCCCCCCCCCCTGCACTTCAGGAAGGGGCACCTCTTTCATTGGTGGTCAGTGAGAGGAGCACCGTATGTGGTGGCCCTCCAAAGGTCTGAAGGACAGTGAACTGGCCCCCTGTGTAAAAAGTCTGGGGACGCCTGTTCTACACTAGTCTTCCTTCAGGTCCAAGAGAACAGGAGTTAAAAAACAAATAAAAATGGCCAGGCGTGGTGGCTCACATCTGTAATCCCAGCACTTTGGGAGCCCAAGGTGGGCGGATCATGAGGTCAGGAGTTTGATCAGCCTGACCAATATGGTGAAACCCCGTCTCTATTAAAAATACAAAAATTAGCCCGGCGTGGTGCTATGCACCTGTAGTCCCAACTACTTCAGAGGCTGAGGCAGAAAAACCACTTGAATCCAGGAGGAGGAGGTTGCAGTGAGCCGAAATTGTGCCACTGTACTCCAGCCTGGGCAACACAGCAGGACCCCGTTCCAAAAAGCAAAACAAAAACAAAACAAACAAAAAAACCCAAAAACTAAAGTATTCTTGAGGGGGAAGTGTTCTATTTTACTCATCTTTAAACCTCCCGTATCATACAATTTGTACAAAGCAAGCATTCAATAGATTTTCTGAATTTAGTCATATTATATTATATAATAAGACAGTACACAAAAGCATTCTAGGTCCTTCATAATTTCACATCTGCCTATTCTTCCAATTTTATCTCTTGTTTTACTCCTCTAGACACTTGCATATTCTGGTCCCTGGATGACTTTAGTTCATCCAACAAATCAGACTTCCACATCAGCATGCCTTTAGAAATATTGTATCATATCATTTACGTGAAAAGCCCACTTTTTTGGCTGTCCATCTGACAGTGTCCATCTGACACGCTTCTTCCCAGAAAGAAACATCTGTGAGGATGTATCTGGCCAACCATGCTGACAGTGCTGCTTAAAAGGTGCCACAGTCTTACCTAGGCTGCATTGGTAACCCAGGCAAGCAGCTATTAATTTGGTTCTTTTGGCCTATGGCTGAAGCTTTCGACTTCTTTGATCAGTAAAATTTCAAAACTATATGTCTGTCAACTTTCAATTTTTACCAAATGAAGATAAAAATCACCATGATTTTTTTAAATGTCAGGTCTTTTTAACACTAAATAAAGATAGGACACAATCTCATATTAAAGATAGTTGGAAAATTTATACCTATACAGATTAAAAAAACATGGATAACAATACATACATAAAATAGATTAATACTACAAAGCCCTTTTTTTCATTGCTGTAAAAAGGAGAATATTTGTCACAGTTTAGTAAGGATTAGAATTTGGGAAACTGATTAACGCGTAGCTTAGGTTGATTGAAGCAGGAGAGCTTATAAGTTCCCAGTGAATGAATGCAGACATACTTGGGCACAACCAAGCACCCTTAGATTGGGGCTTTCCAAGAACTCAGGCAGGCAACTGCACAGAATAACCACAATAGATGGAGAACACCTTGGCAATCGAGGTGTTTCTACTGGGGCACTTATGTTTTCTACCTCTTCTTTCCTATAAGCTATTACCTGCTGTATCTTTTCTAAAAGGTCAAGATTGTAAATTATATGTGTCATTTGTTGACCAATATCACAACAGAAATGGCAAAGTATCTTCATCCTGCCAGTGCTTCCTTGATGATCTAGCTCCTTGTACATAATCTTGACTTTCCTGCCTGACTCTCCTTCATGATCCACCGCCTTGTACATAATTTTTATATAGTAGTTAGTTCACTGACATTATTATTTGATTACAAGTCTTTTTCAATAGGCTGGAATCCCTGAAGAATAGGAACATGCTCTTCTTATCTGTCTCTTTATGTATTTCTTTGCCTTCAGTCCAGCATATGAAACTATCATGCCACATAATAACTTATTAAGGTATAAAAGAGTAGGCCGGGCGCAGTGCTCACTCCTGTAATGCCAATACTTTGAGAGACCAAGACCAGCAGATCACTTGCGGTTAGGAGTTTGAGACCAGCCTGACCACCATGGAGAAGCCCTGTCTCCACTAAAAATACAAAATTAGCTGGGCTTAGTGGCGCATGCCTGTAATCCCAGCAAATCGGGGGGCTGAGGCAGGAGAATCGCTTGAACCCAGGAGGTGGAGGTTGCGGTGAGCAGAGATTGCGCCATTGCATTCCAGCCTGGGCAACAAGAGCGATACTCCAAAAACATAATAATAATATATATATGTAAAAGAAACACTTCACTGCCAAAACTATAGAATACTCAAACTTATAATTAACATTATAATTATGTATGTGTGTGTATGGTCTTATATGTATATAATTAGCTTACCTGGCAACTCTTTTGGACCACCCCAACTGACTTGCACGAACTGCAACTTCTTGGTTAAGATGCTTGGCAATAGCTTTTATTTCTGGCTGCAAATTTTCCACCTAGCTAAAAAACAGATTTTGTTATGAGCACATAAAGGACCTTTATTCATAATCACTCATAATTTTTCACACTATTCCCTTGAGTCATTTAAAAATGTAGTTTATTGATCATGTCAAGAAACCTAAGTCTAAATACATGATGTCAATTTGCTTAAAATGTCCTCATTCAAAAATTCAAAATGTATACTTATCCATGTGATCATGGGCAAGTAAGCTCTAAAATCATGTTCCCTCACATATAAAATATATAACAGCATCTACTTCACAGGGTTAGAAGTATTACATGAGGACTGCACCCTGGACTTTACTGTTCCATCTCTAGATTTCTTAGTAACGTAAGCGGAGAAAACTGCCATCTTTTAAGAACCTTTAATGCACTGTGATAGACACAAATCAAAAATAAAAACTGCATTTATTCCTGCCTTGTGTTAATTTTTCCTGTAAAGTAGCTCACTGACTTAATGTTGCTGCTGATTCCGTTCCTGTTCTGTTTCCGATTTTTTCCCCCAATGCTCACAACCTGAAGACATGAAAGCCACTATTTTTTAACTATCCCATTTGAATAATCAAGCACTTTAACCCATATCATCTGACTTGCTCTCATAACGTTGTGAAGTAGGCAAAGAAGGTATTTCTATCCTGATTCCTCAGAAAAAAGGATTCAGCATTAAAAGGTTAAGTGACTGTGACCAAGCAGACACAGTCTTAGTCAGGCTTGGATAGGAATCGAATTCGCAAAGTGCTAATAGTATGCAGACATACTGGCTATTAAAACTTTTAAGACATGAATTTTATAGGTTTCGTCAAGACAATTTCTTCTGCCACTGACTGCTTTGATTCCATTCTCTGAGAGAACTTTAGTAACCACTTGTGCTCGGAGCACAAACCCAGCAAGGAAAACGAAAGGACAGGTTCATGTGTACAAAATTTTATTCAACACACCTAATGCTAAATTTTTTTAAACGCTAAAATGGTCACAATAAAATAGGCACGATGATTAAATACTAAACACTGCAGCAGGCAATATCGCGGGATCGAAAGCCCTGAGTGAATATCGACTTTCTTCCACTGCAGGGGTTGCCGCGCAGGGCACGCACACGGCTCGGCGCCCCTCACCTTGGCCAGGATGTAGTGCTGGTAGGCGGCCAAGGGCAGCGTGACTGCGCCCCGCAAGGCCACGGTGGAGAGCAGAATGCCGCCCCACCAGGGCAGTCCCGTGGTGGCGTGCACGCCGAGCAGTACTTCCTCCGCAACCCGCACCGGCGAAGAAGTGGCCAGGGCCTCGTACCAGCCGTTCCCGTCTACTGCAGAGACTGGTGCCACTGCCCACACTGGGAGAGTGGGGCGCCTGGCGCCGCTCCTAGGAACCGGCGCAAGCGGCGGGTCTCCCGCCCGAAGGTGCAGGGCAGGGAGTGGCCGCAGCCACCGACCGCCAAGCCGGCAGAGCATTTCTGCACCACAGCGGAGCCCTGAACCAGGGCCTCACAATTCAGCGGACATGCACGGACCAACCAAGGGTGACAGGCGCATGCGTCAGGAACAGCGGGCAAAAAGCGCAGGCACGCCAGCCTGCAGCGCTGACTGACCTTCCCATTCACGCCGGTGACGACTTGCGTCGCAGTGGATATGACGCAAGAGATAGGGAAGTCCCGCCTTTCCCACTTGGCACTGGGCAGGCCTACTGCGCACGCGCAAAGCGTTCCCGCTGCTGGGGTGGAATTACTCCGAGGCCGGACCAGACTGCAGAGACGTGGGTGTAGCCATGTCTAAAGTTCGTCTTCACCGTGTAACTGTCCATTCTAGTTCACTAAAGCTAATCGTTATTTGTAGTGTGGTCACCTGTGCTCCATGTTTTTTTGTGACCAGAAGCTGATCCCCAACCTCTTTACGTGCACTGGAGTGCTTCCGCTAGAGAATAGGATAGATTATAATACCAAAGAGTAACACGTTGCTGAAATGCCGGCCCGGAGAGTGACGCATGTTTCTTGCTGACCCTGAATGTTAATAAGCATGCTTAAAGCACGACGCATAGTTCAGCCTCTTGTATATTTAATTAAATGGCCCATCCGTTCCAGTGAGTATTTTGAACACCACCTGCAAACTGAATTTCTTCAATGTTTTGTGTTCCATTATAAATAGCAGCAAAAGCTTATAGTAAGATAAAGTGTCATGTCTTGATTTAAGGGAAACTATCACTTGGCAGTATCGATGGCAGTGCGGTGAATTCCTTACTAGAATTTACTTGTATCCATTATAAGCTTTAAAGAGCCTGAACTCAGCATTAGATGTCTTTTAGTCAAAAGGAATACCTTGAATCTGCATGGACTATATAGTTTTTAAATTTCTTTTCTATTTTTTATTTTTATTTTTTTTAGAGACGAGGTTTCACCATATTGGCCAGGATGCTCTCGATCTCTTGACCTCGTGATCCGCCTGCCTCGGCCTCCCAAGGTGCTGGGATTACAGGCGTGAGCCACTGCGCCCGGCGACTATATAGTTTTTACTTTTGTGTTCCTGGAAACAACAAACTGGAATGACACAGAGGAGGTTCCTCACAGAAGGGTCACCCCAGACTACAGAACAAAGTATGTTGTGAGGAGTAAACATTGATTTTATATATTTATTTAGTCAAAGAAGCCTCCAGCAAATGTTGGGTAATGTCAAACGGCAGCTATCATTTGCCCTTCATTGTGCACCTAACCAAGGTCACTTTCTCAAGATTCTGGAAGCCATCTGCTTTCCAAACTGACTGATAAATTTTTACATGAATTTTTAAACGTGTTTAAACACACGCACACATGCTATATATAAACTTCTAAAAGAAGAACCAACCAATCTATTTCTTTATCCATTTATTAAGCTAACAGAAAAGCCATCAGTTGCTACTGACTACTGTTCAGACTGCTCATAATCTGAACTGAATTTTAAAGCTATTCTTGCTAGGCACAGTGTATCACGCCTATAATCCCATCACTTTCTGAGGCTGAGGTGGGAGGATACCTTAAGGGCTGATCTTGGCAACATGGCCCAACCTTATCTCTACAACAAATACAAAAATTAGCCAGATGTGGTGGCTTGGACCTGTGGTGCCAGCTACCAGGAGGTCAAGGTAGGAGGATTGCTTGAGCCCCGTGAGCCCAAGGCTGCAGTGAGTCATGATTGAGCTAGTGCACTCCAGCCTGGGTGACAGAGCAAGCAAGACTCCCATCTCTTAAGAAAACAAAACAAAACTGTAAGCTGTTCTGCAATCCCTAAGATTTAATTTTGTGGTTATATCAGGGGTCAGAAATGGGACTTCAGTGTAGGAACACATTTTTTGCTACATAATTGTATTCATGTTACATTCTCATTTTTAAAAAGTATTTCCTTAAGTTTGAATATTGTGATCTAAATAAAATTTATGAGTATTTAATTTCTGCTAAATGTAGGAACACATTTTTGCTACATATTGTGTTCATGTTATATTCTCATTTAAAAAACTGTTTCCTTAAGTTTGAATATTATGATCTAAATAAAATTTATAAATATTTAACTTCTGCTAATTTCATCTATATGTGTATAAACACATTTCTTAATCCATATAATGAGGATGATTAGAACTTGCTACCTACTTGGTAGAGGATGTTGGGGGAAGTATTTGTCAATTTTAAAGCCCAATGCAAAAGAAAGTGTTACTACTAATGTACAGGTACTGTTTATACAACATTGTGATTATCTTATATCTTTTGAGTTTCAGAGTACAGTACAAAATGACCATACAACTATTGAGTGAACCAACTGAAATCATTTGTCAATCCTCTTTGCAAATGAACTTGTGCAATGTATTTAAACATTTTTAAAAGTTCAACATTTATAATTAGCTTATTCCAGTCTTTGATATTAGTGTTATGTCAGTTAATTTCTGAACTTTAAATTCCTTAAGAAGAGACTATATATTACATTTTCCTTCTGCAGTCTCTGTAATTCCTAACTATCATGGTAGGAACACAGGAATGGAGCTTGCTACACTGGACAGGAACTTGCTAAATTGGTCATGAACACAGGAATGGAGTTTTTATCTTCCCAAGATTCTTTGTTGAGACCCCAATGTGACAGTATTTGGAGGTAGGGCCTTTGGGAAGTAATTGGTCTTAAGGGTAGAGCTCTCAAATTGGATTTGTGCCCTCTTAAGAAATAAGGCTGGGCATTAAGGTTTATCCCTGTAAATTCCTGTGCTTTGGGAGGCTAGGAGGGGAGGATCACATGAACCTGAGTTTGAGGTTGCAGTGAGCTGTGATCACGCCATGCCATGCCACTGCACTCCAGCCTGGGTGACAGAGCAAGATCTTGTCTCAAACAAAGGAAAAAAAAAAAAAAGGAAAAGACAAAAGCAAGATGACTTTTTTTGCCCTGCATTAAGAAAGGAGAAAGCCATCTGCAAATGAGACAGAAGGCCCCCACCAGAAACCATAAAGGCTGGCATATTGACATTAGACATTGTACCTTTCAGAACTGTGAGATAAATTTCTGTTGTTTAAGCTCCTCGGTCTGTAGTATTTTTGTTGTAGTAGCCTGAATTAAGTGCTCAAAATTTGAATATAGGCTATCATTATCATGTAATCATTTAGGCTTCTCATTTCCCAAATATGCCTTCTGAAATGTTTGTCAAAAAACTAAATGACTGTAGCCTACTAGGGTGTATATATATGTATATACATACACCTTTAAGAAATGTTTTCATGAGCAATTGTTAGTGATTTCTTTTCTTTTCTTTTCTTTTTTTCGAGATGGAGTTTCGCTCGTTACCCAGGCTGGAGTGCAATGGCGCGATCTCGGCTCACCGCAACCTCTGCCTCCTGAGTTCAGGCAATTCTCCTGCCTCACCCTCCTGAGTAGCTGGGATTATAGGCACGCGCCACCATGCCCTGCTCATTTTTTGTATTTTTAGTAGAGACGGGGTTTCACCATGTTGACCAGGATGGTCTGGATCTCTTGACCTCGTGATCCACCCGCCTCGGCCTCCCAAAGTGCTGGGATTACAGACTTGAGCCACCGTTTTTTTTTTTTTTTTGAGGCGGAGTTTCGCTCTTGTTACCCAGGCTGGAGTGCAATGGCGCCATCTCCGCTCACCACAACCTCCGACTCCTGGGTTCAGGCAATTCTCCTGCCTCAGCCTCCCGAGTAGCTGGGATTACAGGCACGCCCCACCATGCCCAGCTAATTTTTTGTATTTTTAGTAGAGACGGGGTTTCACCATGTTGACCAGGATGGTCTCGATCTCTTGACCTCGTGATCCACCCGCCTCGGCCTCCCAAAGTGCTGGGATTACAGGCTTCAGCCACCGCGCCCGGCTGTTAGTGATTTCTTAAAATCAGTTAAGATTTCAGTTTTTCTTTCTTATTTAAGGCATTACTTCTCAAAACCAAAGCTACCTAATCTAGAATTGGCTTTTTTCTCTATTGAAAGACATCTGCTTGCCATCTTTCTTATCATTGGTTTTCAAGCACAGAACATGCAAAGTTGGCTTTTGTTTTTCAAAAGCGTGAATTCATTTAAAAGTATAATATGGAACCTCCTACACCATAGATATTAGGTCTGTATTATGTTACATTATAAAGGTATTCTGTTAAAGCCACAGTGGCACATTTTCCTTTACACTTACCCAAAATTCAAGTGATCGGATTTTTGCAATCAAGGTGTACAACACATCAAGACTTATTAAAGCACTGATGATGCTCCCATCTTAAATTCCAGTCACCTGAGTTAATCAAATGCTATGACTTAAGCAACCATTTATCAATGGGGTATGTATTTCCAAAGACATGAAGGAACATATAGAATTTAGTATCAGGGACAGCAAACATTGTAAGTGTAAGACATCTGCATAGATTGATTTACCTAAAGTAAGACTATATTGAGAATGGAATACTGAATCTCTGCTTATAGTGGTTTTAAAAGCAGGGACTTGGTTTTTCTTTGCTATTTTAATCATTCTGAAATAATCTTAGTTTTAAAATCTGTTACTTAAAACAATGTTTTGGTACCTTTTAAATGTTCTGTAATGCCAGATCTGTGGAAATAAGAATGTTATGAAAAACATCAACATGGGATTTAGATCTGAAGACATTTTATAACTTTGGGTTTTCCTATTTAGTACAACACTCTGTACTGTTTTAAAAATAATATAGGGTACGACATTTTTACAAAATACAGATGGACTATTATTTTTGTGAAGAACAAGACAGGATTAGTTAATACCTTTTCCAAAGAAAAAAAAATTATTATAGTCATTTACAAAAGAATTATTTTTCATGTATTAATAAAAACAACTTTTCAGTAATGGGAAGTAGGAGGGGAAATTTCTTTCCTATAAGCACTTAAGTCAGCGTTTGTAAACATGTTGAGTATGTCAAAATGTATGTTGAAAAGGCAATGAAATGTGGGATTTTGTTGGGAATGGATGGTATAAAGTGATTATAGAGTAATTGAGATATTAACTATTTGGGGATTTAAGGTGTGAACTAACTCAAGTGTAATGTCCAAGAATTAAATCATTTCTTAAAAGACTGATGTAGTCTGCATATACACATACCACGTATTTTTTTTTAATTGTTCAAATAAAAGTGCACTGCATTACATCTGAAATATAAAAAATGTATTTGGAAAATGTTCCTAGTACAGACTTCTAAAACCATGGTATTGTACTAAACAAGCCCAATCCCAGAAACTAAATATGGAGCATTTTAATCTACATCCCTTGGCCCCACAGTTCTGAAGTAAAGAAAATATAGGGTTTTTCCCCCTCCTTTTTTAATAAGATACCCCATCTTAAGAAATTCAGTATTGTGAGACAATACAACTCATGTGTTGTAATAAATATTGTATAGCATCTCTTCTCCAGCAGGATTATCTTAACTAGAAAATAACCCTAGTTAACACAGGAAAGAATTGAGAAAAAAAAAATTTATGTCTAGAATAGTGGTAAGTCATTTATAAAATGCTTTGTTAAATAACATTATTATATCCCTTTTTTAGTAGTGCTATAATTTTATTTCATATATTTATTTGTAGACTGTCTTTTAGCTCTCCCTTTAAATTTGGGCATATTAAACATAGGTGGAAAAACAAATTGATATATTTTAAGACCACTTCTTAAAATAAAAGATATGAATGTAGTACTGTTTACAAATATCTGGGTATGCTTGAAAAGTCATCTTTTTATTCTTTACTCAGGCTTTAATCTTTACTCAGACTTAAGAATTTTCTTGACAACCAAGGAACCATATTAATATCATCAACTCTGGGTGATTTATATGAATTTTAGTTAGTGTTTATGTTTTACCAGTGTGAAATTTTATGTCTATTTTTTTAAAAAGAAAAATTGATATATACATTAATTGATCTTTATGTTTACTTTCTTTTACATTTTAACCATATAATTAATTTTTCGATGAGACAGGGTAGGACACATAATCTTCTTGGATACATTACTGTTTATTGTTTCAAGTGGATGGAATATATATATCTCACTGAGTAGTTTAGTGTGGCCCTCTATCTTATATAAACAGGTTAAACTGAGACTTTATATTGTAATCTGTGTATTCATGTATCTACCATAAATTGTCTTCATGACAAATGCAAAATATCTTTTATTACTTGGCTCAGGTTAACTGTTCCTTTTCACTGATAATATACAAGTGTAAAAAGCAGAAAGCCTTTAAAATTGAAGAAAGAAATAAGATATTTTCCACTAAATTACTGAAAATTGAAATTTTTATGTTGACTGTTGATGACTGAAAAGCCAATGTTAAGAATCAATATCATCCAATATAAAATAGTACATTGAATTGTTTAATAAACAGAATATTAAGAGCTTGTATATGCTGACTGGGAACAGTGGTGGCTTTTTAAATTCTCAGAAAGTCTAAACATTTTATAATCAGAAGAAACCACTGGTGATGATCAAGATGGTCCATCTCTCTGTAGCAGCCATTACAGTGAAAATCTTGACAGAACTTTTTCACTATCAGCAAGGTAATTTTACTGGTATTAGTGGTAAAGGTAAGGAGAAAAAAAGAGTGAAGAGATAAGTGTGTATTAGTTTTAAAAGTGAGAAAAGGTAATAAAATGACATGGAAAAGCCAGAAATTTCTTCTTCTGTATGTGCCTTGCTACAAATAAACTGAAAAGCAAGCAAGATGGGTATCTGAAAAGCCAATGTGGGGAAACATCCAATGATAATGCCCATTATTTTACTTTATACTTAAATTACACAAGTAGAAAAGTTATGCTTATTAATAGTTTAATGTATGAAGGAAACATCCAGATTTCTGAATATGAAGGTACATATCTCACATTAATTTAAGTCTACATAAAGTAGAGCCTCTATACTGACATATTGAAATTTACTTTCTGCTTAGCCTTTTCTGTTATGTAAACAATTGTACATTTATTTGCCATTCTAAAACTTCAGGATCAAGTTTACATAATTTTGCTAAATTTCCGTGTTTGCTCAAAAGCAGTTTACAGTACTAAAACCAACCAGCCAAAGAACAGCTTCAACAGAAAGTTATGTCCAAAGGGAAAGAGGGAAAGAAAAAAAGAAAAATGATAAGAAAAATGCTAACTAAGGTAAAACGGATGATGATGGGGAATGGGCAGTCACAAATGATCACAGAAAATAGGTCAGTTAGTTAGTAAGATCTTCTGCAAAAAGCCTACACACTTCAGTCAAGCACATCAGTAGAATGATTTGGGAGCATAATTTTTTTTTTTTTTTCGGCCACTGGTGGTTTCCTCCAAATGAAAAGGAATCTGCAGGCTAACAAGCTGATCCTCATCAGCCAAGCTGGTTCATATGCACACTGTTCATGTGAGGTGCCCAGGGTCCAGTCCACACCTATGAATATAGAGCATGTATTTTACAAAATATATATTTAGCATATATTTTATTAAAACTCTTAGAAACTAAGGAGGTACTCTTCAGTTTGCAACATACGAGGAACTAGTGGGAAAAAATGATAAAACCTTTTTTCTATTATTTTCCTACCTCTTATCCATCAAACAGAATCTGACTTACAACCTTTTAAAAAAAAAAATCATTACCTGAGTATTTACAGATTCGTGGTTGTGGAAGAAAAATAAATCAAAGATATTTAACATATAATAAGCTAAAATATACAATCATTTCTGTGAATTTTCATTTATAGTACCTTTAATAAATAACCTCTAGATGGCCTTTTCATACCACTAGTAAACTTTAATGTATAAAATCATATGATAAACACTTTGCAACTTAAAATCTTTCATTTACTATCTGCTACCCAGTAGAATACACAGTATCTTTCATAATTTTAACTCCAAACCTGCCTTTGGTACCATTTCCCATAGCCCTCTGCTATACTGCAGCTATATTAAATTTCCTTCAATTTCTTCAACTGCCCATATTCACCATACTCTCTTGCTATCATGAGTTATCTATATCCTATTTGTCTTTCCATTTCTTAAACACAAAATAAATGTTTGTTCACTGAATGATCACCCTTACCGTTTGAGGGCCATTATTTTCCGTGGAGCTCGAAACCATCTTTATGAGTGAGTTCCAAGAAGGGTCTGCAGCATGAGGGCCATTAAATATGGGTCCTCCAGCACCATCAGGGATAGGTGCTACTGGCGGAATCATTGCATTCCCATACACAGAAAAAGGCATACCCTTAACAAAGGAAAACACATACATTAACATCCAAGTCATTGTTAATTTTTCCCAATATAATCAATAGACTTAAAATTGATATTTAAAACTTAACCTCCTCCTGGGAATGTACAACTTATCTTAGATATCTAAAAATTATTACCCATTATATAATTTATTTTAACATTAGCTTGATTATACATATGCCTATTATATTGAAAATATTTTGTCAGAAAATCCTCCCTTAAAAACTAGGACAAAATCAGAACTTTACCCCAACTTTGGGAAAGTCCATGTAGCCTGCAGGAACGTGCTGATGGAATGTACCAGAAGGAGTTACAATTCCTGTACTATCTCGCTCCATTGCTTGATGTTGTGAAAATACTCCTGGATCAGACATCGGTCTGTGGATCATAGGATTTCCCATCCCAGGGTTACACCAGTCTACTTTGTCTGAGGGCAAACAAAGCAGAAACAAAAATAGTTAATATTTAAAATCAACAGAAAATATTTTGTTTTTCTAATATTTTCCACACTGAACTGTAGATTATTTCAATGTAATGATCTACTTTTATATATTTCCATGTTTGTAGGTAGTGACTATAATAGTTTAATGAAATAATCTAAAAACTTGGTATTATAAAAAAAAATTGAAGTACAACTTAAAGGGACTGAAAGGAAATATTAATGTGTTCTTAATATGATGAAAGGAAGAAAAGAACATGCTTGCATTAGGTATTTTCAGAAAGCAGTAATAAATAAATGTAATGAGAAACGTCACATGGGGACAGAACTCTTAAAGAAGTGATTAGATTCTCAAGACAACAACAAAAAAAATAAGAATATAAATCTTTTGGAAATGACTATGAGGCTGGGCATGGTGGCTCATGCCTGTAATGCCAGCATTTTGGGAGGCTGAGGCGGGTGAGTCACTTGAGGTCAGAAGTTTGATACCCACCTGACCAACAGGGTGAAACACGCCTCTACTAAAAATACAAAAATTAGCCGGGCATAGTGGTGCATGCCTGTAACCCCAGCTACTTGGGAGGCTGAGGCAGGAGAATCGCTTGAATCCGGGAGGCGGAGGTTGCAGTGAGCCAAGATTGTGCCATTGTACTCCAGCATGAGCAACAAGAGCGAAACTCCATTTAAAAAAAAAAAAAAATGAAATGACTATGAAAGTTAAATACTGTTTACATTATAGTTAAACGCATAAACTTAATTTCTAGAGATCAGGATAGAATATCCTACCTTGATTGCCACCAATCCCTTCAAAGGACCAGATGCCACTATGCCCTACTGATGTAGACAAATTGCTCCCAATAACAGATGGAGCTGATGTTCCAGTTTGCCTGATACGTGCAGAACGTTCAGTCCCAATAGGAACTGGAACTTTCCTGTCCTGAGACACATTGCTGGGCTTTTCTGACCCTAACGGTACTGAAGATGGGGCAGGAGATGGTGCACGAACTCCAGAGGATACTGACTGTGCAGAAGAATCTAGAGAAGAGATATTTTGAAATAAAATACAGGTCATCTATAGAACATGTAATTTTATAAAACCAAATCTTAAATTGAAGAGACATTTAAAATATATATTCTCAGAAAAACAAAATGTAAAAATAATACTTAAATAAAAATTATACATATACATTTGGCTAAAGTTCCATGACTTCAAGGTAGAATATGATGTCATTGCTGCAAAGTGTTCAACTATACAGGTATTAAACTATTTAAACTAAATAATATACAAATGAATTAACCCTTGACATTAAGTAGATGTAGAGCAATAAGACATTTAAATTAAAAAACAAACAACAACAGAATGGAGATGGCTAAAAATCACTGCCTGTACTGGTAATCTCCAAACCGTATTTCTTGGGAATACTTGCTTTTTGGTATGTTACGATGAAAAAACAAAGAGATTCAGCTATCTAATAAATTTAGAAAACCTAGCTTAAGAAAAAGAAATATGTTTCTTTGTTATTCATCCATTATTTATTTATTTATTTATTTATTTATTTATTTAATTTTATTTTTAGAGACAGAGTCTTGCTCTGTTGTCCAGGCTAAACTGCAGAGGCACGATCATAGCTCACTGTACCCTCAAACTCCTGGGCTCAAGTAATCCTCCCACCCCAACCTCCTGAACAGCTGGGACTACTGGTATAAGCCACCATATGACTCCAGGGGAGTCATTGCCTAAGTCTGTTTTATCTTGTGAGTACTTCACGGAACACACTTTTACTAATAAGAATCTTTTTTACTTATCAAAACAAGGTGTAGTTCCTAATTTAAGAATATTCATTAGTGATTTAAGCTCACTACCTTATTGAAAAAAACAATCAAAATTATATTTTATGTGAAAAGCTTAAATATTAAAGCACATTTAAATTTAAATGGTTTAAATAATAAAGGAGTCTGAAGCTTGAAAATCAAAACTGTTACCTGCAGATTCAACAGAACTGCAGTTGAACTCCAAATTAGCCTATTATATAAAAGAGAAAGACCTATAGCATTTCTGTGGACAATAAAAGCACTTCAGAAAGAAAGCTATAACCTAAAATTCAAAAATGAGCTAAAAGAAAATGACATGAAGGAACACCATCATTCAGAATTAGTAAAACACAAACAATATGACAAAACTCAGGAAAGTATTAGAAGTAAAAGAATATTTCAGCTAGAGACTAAAAAAACACCACAAATGCTGCAATTATACATGCAGTGGAAAACAGACAAAACTACAGGGAGGACGCAGACATGTAAACACAAAAGCATGTTGTTGTTTTTTTAACTACATATTGAAAGGCCACATTTAAAACTTCGAGGAAAAATCAACCCAAAACAACTAACATCAAGACACAGTCAGGGCAGGCAGGCAGGAAGGAAAAAAGGATTAACAAATGAACCCTGCTTTCCCCTAGATTCATCTCTGGGAGCCTCCTTTAACCTCTGGGTTCACTCTGGTTTCCCTTTTATTTCCTGTATCCTTCAAAAACCAAAGTAAAGCAAAATAACACAACTTTGCACATTGTTTTGTTTTTTTAAGAAATGGTCTCACTATGGTGCCCACACTGGAGTACAGTGGCTATTCACAGGCACAATCACAGTGCACTGCAGCCTCAAACTCCTGGCCTCAAGCCATCCTCCCACCTCAGCCTCCTACACATTCTATTTTAATAAACAGAATTACTAGACTTGCCTGCTGACCTGCTCCATTTAAGAAATTTACTCTCTGCACAGATCCTGCCACCCCTATAGCCATAGTTTTTATAAGATGATCCTGTTTTCTGCTTCCTCTTTGCACAGCTATTGGATTAGGTTATGCACCCATCCAGGAATGATCCATTTTAGGCTAGTCAGTAATCTGACTGAAATAGCCTGATTTGAACACATGAGCTGAGCCAATCATATTCCTCATCAAAGAATGGGCAATTGAAGGGTTAACTGGTTTAATTAACTATGAAGTTGAACCATTGATGTCCATATGCAAGATAAGATTATGAAGAAGTTTAGGTGAAAAGAGAGCAGAATTCAAGAAACTCACAAGAAACAGACCATGAGTGAAAGACTATAAATCCTCTGAGGGAGAGAAAAAAGCTGCCCCTAAGTCCTGGACTATTTGGAAGATGGTTCTGCATAGCCTTGTATAAACACCATTTTTCTTGAGATTCCCTGGATCAGTCTCTATATTTCTTTTCATAAAAAGAACCTAACTAAAATAATTTCTCACATCTCTAATTATTATAATTTCTTCAATTAGAAAAAAAAGCAAAATTTAATTCAGAGCCATGTTATTTAAAAACATCAGCTTGCCGGGTGCGGTGGCTCAAGCCTGTAATCCCAGCACTTTGGGAGGCCGAGGCGGGTGGATCACGAGGTCGAGAGATCGAGACCATCCTGGTCAACATGCTGAAACCCCGTCTCTACTAAAAATACAAAAAATTAGCTGGGCATGGTGGCGCGTGCCTGTAATCCCAGCCACTCAGGAGGCTGAGGCAGGAGAATTGCCTGAACCCAGGAGGTCGGAGGTTGCGGTGAGCCGAGATCGGGCCATTGCACTCCAGCCTGGGTAACAAGAGCAAAACTCCGTCTCAAAAAAAAAAAAAAAAAAAACATCAGCTTATATATTACATAAACAATAGGTTTCAGAGGGTGGGACAGATCTAGGTTTTTGTGGTGCCTTAAGCGTACACAATTTTGGGAACCTTTTTTAGAATAATGCAAAATTACAAATAAAAAATCATGTACAGCACTTGGAAGTAGCCCATAAAATGAGGTGCCCTAAATATTTAAATGTCATGGATATCATGGTAAATTCACCTCAGTTTAGAAAAGATAAGAATCCTGAATGAATATTGAAAGAGTAATGTGATTTACAAATTGAAAAAGTGGGGCAACTGAGTGTGATGGCTCACGCCTGTAATCCAACATTTTGGGCAGCAGAGGCAGGCAGATCAGTTGAGCCCAGGAATTTGAGACCAGCCAGGGCAACATGGTAAAACCCCCATCTCTACAAAATATAAAAATAAAAAAATTAGCCAGGTGTGGTAGTGCGCACCTGTAGTACTAGCTACTTGGGAAACTGAGACAGGAAGATTGGTTGGGCCCAAGAGGTGGAGGTTACAGTAAGCCAAGATGTGCCACTGGATTCCAGCCTGGACAAGAGAGACAGACCTTGCCTTAAAAAAAAACAAAAAACAAAAAAGGCCGGCGGTGGGCGCGCGCGGGCGCGGTGTGGGCAAGCGTTGTGGCTCACATCTGTAATCTCTGCATCTCTGCATTTTGGGAGGCCAAAGTGGGAGGATCTCTTGACACCAGGAGTTCAAGACCAGTCTGGGCAACATAGTAACACCTCCTCTTAACAAAAAAAAAAAAAAAAACAAAAAAAAAAAAAAAACCATAAAAATAAAATGAAAACATTTGCTGGTTGCTATGGCAAGTGCCTGTAGTCCTAGCTACTTGAGAGACTGAGGCAAGAGGACTGCTTGAACCCAGGAGTTTGAATGAGGCTGCAGTGAGCTATGGTCATACACCACTGCATTCCAGCCTGGGTGACAGAGAGAGACCTCACGAGGAGGAAAGGAGAGATGAGAGAGTAAAGAGAGGAGACGAGAGAAGAAAACAAAAAGTGCTCCTACAGTAAAATAACACTGCAATTTTCTCACACTTTACTTCAGTGTTTATTAAACATACCCTGAATTTAATCAGGAACAAACAGTAGGAAATAAAAATAAAAGTCATTCTAGCAAAGAGTTTTTCTTTGAAAGTTAAAGAAAGGCTCAGAGAAGAGTTCCAGATTATTTGAGACTAAAGAGATATGGGAATTAAGTGTAACTTGCAGTCCTAATTAACATCTTGGATGAAAGAAAATAATAAAGTATTATTGTGATAACTGATGAAAAGTAAATATGAACCACAGATAACAATATTATAAAATGTAAACTTTTCTAAATTTTAACATTGCATCATAGTTGTGGAAGGGAATATTCTTATTCTTAGGAAACTAACTTATTTAGGGGCAAAAGGGCTTGATGTCTACAACTAACTCTAAAACAGTTCAGAATAAAATAGTTTTACACACACACACAGAGGAATACATGATGAAGAAAGAAAGCAATGTAGTTTAATTGGTGAATCTGGAAAACATATATAACAGATCCTTGTGGTATTCTTGAAAGTTTAAAATTATTAATTACAAAACCTGAGAGACATAATCAAATGCAATTATGTGAGCCTTGAGTGGTTCCTGGTTCAAGAGAAAAACATCTCTAACAAATGTTTTGAGGGTGGGTGCGGTGGCTTATTCCTCCCAGCACTTTGGGAGGCCAAGCTGGGTGGATCACAAGGTCAGGAGTTCAAGACTAGCCTGGCCAATATGGTAAAATCCCATCTCTGCAAAAAATACAAAAATTAGCCAGGCGTGGTATTGGGCACCTGTAATCCCAGCTACTTGGGAGGCTGAGGCAGGAGAATCACTTGAAACCGGGAAGCGGAAGTTGCAGTGAGCCGAGATTGCACCACCGTACTCCAGCCTGGGCGACAGAGTGAGACTATGTTTCAGGGAAAAAAAAAAAGTTTTGGGCTAATTAAACATATCTGAATACACAGACTGATTTCTTTTTTCTTTCTTTCTTTTTTTTTGAGATGGAGTCTCTCTCTGTCACCCAGACTGGAGTGCAGTGGCACGAACTCGGCTCACTGCAACCTCCACCTTCCAGGTTCAAGCAATTCTCCTGCCTCAGCCTCCTGAGTAACTGGGACAACAGGCATGTGCCACCCTGCCAGGGTAATTATATTTTTAGTAGACAGGGGATTTCACCATATTGGCCAGGCTAGTCTCGAACTCCTGACCTCATGATCCACCTGCCTCGGCCTCCCAAAGAGCAGGGATTACAGATGTGAGCCACTGCGCCCGGTCTAGACTGATAATTTTTACTGAATTCATGTTAACCTATTAGGTATCTGATAATAGTATCATGGTTGCATTAAAAAAAATCTTTAAGTGATGCATGTTTTTAGGTCCAAAGTGTCGTATCTGCACCTTATTTAGGAATGGTTCACAACAAGATGGTAGAGAGAGAAAATAAATATAACAAAATAACTGGGAAATTTAAGTGAAGGGAATATGGATATTCCTTGAACTATTTCACTTTCCTTTGGGTCTAAAATTTTTTATAACAAAATAGTTACTGGAATGTGGCAACAATAAAAGCAAATGTAATGGCCTCAATGATATTCTGTATCTACAATAAAGCAATATATTCAAAAGTATCAATTAAAAACCTAACCTGGCTGGTGCAGTGGTACACACCTGTAATTCCAGCACTTGGGGAGCTGTGCAAGGATAATTAATATTCTATATGACTGCCATTATTTGACAAATACAAGAAAAACTATGAAGATATAAATTTACTGCATGCCATAACTTACCTCATGCTTTAACTGGCAATGTACTTTGATATGTGTCTCTAAAATAATTAAAACTTTTTACTCTTTTATTCAGTTAATTCAGTTAACTATTACCCATTCTAGTATTGCTACTTAGAAGCAATTTGTCAGTTTTTTTTTAAAAAAAACTGAGTCTTATTATAATTTCCTTAATAGATAAGCAACTTCACATCTTTACCTCGAAAACAAACATATCTAACCTTACTATGGAATTGTCTTAACATGAGTTAAATTCCCTATTGCTGACTGATCTTCATCAGTTTGAAAATCTAGGCTGGGCATGATGGCTCATGCCTGTGATCCCAGCACTTTGGGAAGGGAAGGTAGGCAGATCACAAGGTCAGGAGTTCGAGACCAGCCTAAGCAACATAGTGAAAGCCTGTCTCTACTAAAAATACAAAAATTAGGTGGATGTGGTGGCACACGCCTGTGGTCCCAGCTACTAGGGAGGCTGAGGCAAGAGAATCGCTTGAATGCGGGAGGTGGAAGTTGTAGTAAGCCGAGACCATGCCATTGCATTCGAGCCTGGGTGACAGAGTGAGCTTTGTCTCAAATTCAAAAAAAAAAAAAAAAAAAAAAAAGGCGCCGTGGCTGACGCCTATAATCCTAGCACTTTAGGGGGCTGAGGTGGGTGGACTGCCTGAGGTCAGGAGTTTGAGACCAGCGTGGCCTACATAATGAAACCCCAACTCTACTAAAAATACAAATAATTAGCTGGGCGTGATGGTGTACACCTGTAATCCCAGCTACTGTGGAAGCTGAGGCAGGAGAATCACTTGAACCTGGGAGGTGGAGGTTGCAGTGAGCCGAGATTGTGCCATTGCACTCCAGCCCGGGCAACAGGAGCGAAATTCCATCTCCAAAAAAAAAAAAAAAAAAAATCTAATCACTGCTTCGTAATTATGTGATAATGTGAAATCAGTTGTGTTGTTTAAGCAGATGAGATTTTGTTTTCTTTTGCTCTGTTGCCCAGGCTGGAGTACAGTGGTATGATCTTGGCTCACTGCAACCTCTGCCTCCCCGGTTCATGTGATTCTCCTGCCTCAGTCCCCAAGTAGCTGGGATTACAGGCGCACACCACAACACCTAACTAATTTTTGCATTTTTAGTAAGATGGGTTTTTGCCATGTTGGCCAGGCTGGTCTTGAACTCCTGACCTCAGGTGATCCATCTGCCTCCACCTCCCAAAGTTGTAGGATTACAGGCAGACAGCCACCGTGCCCATACTAGATGAGATTTAAAGAAGAACCAAAAGGATGTAATTTTCACACTTAAGGGTAGAAATCTTTCTCCTTGGAAGCTGTATTCTCACAACTAAAAGTAAACATAAATTAGTAACAGATATAAGGATTAATTTTTTTCCCTCTAAAAATGATACCTCAGGACAAGAGTGGTAGCTCACACTTGTAAATCCCAGCACTTTGGGAGGTAGGAGGATTGCTTGAGTTCAGGAGTTTGACAAAACTCCAGGCTGGAGTTTTAGACAAAACTCCAGGCTGGAGATAGTAAGACCCTATCTCTAATAAAAATAAATAATACTAATAATCCCTTTTAGAAAAACTTCAATATTTTAGGTTTGATATAACCTACGTTGATTCTAATAATTTAAATACTAAAAAAATTTTTTGGAATTCCACAGATGCCAAGAGTACACATTACATTTTTATGGTATTAAAATTATGATGAGGTTTAAAACCTGCTGTTTTTAAGAAAACATATATGCAGATTCTTATGGAATTAACAGTGCATAAAACTCACCATTTGATGCTGATGAACACGGAGTCAACAAACTAAGTGGGGAAAAATGCTGTCTGTTAAAGTTAGCAGCTGTGGGTGCTCCTCCAAGGGGTGCCCCAGGTCCGTACATCTGACCTCCTGAAAGGTTTGAGGCAAAATTTCCCAAATGTGTTGAAGAAGGTGTTACAGAACCATATGGCGAGTCCACATTGACAATACCTATAATGTAGAAGGTCATGATAATTTATAATAGTTATCTCTACAAGAAACAGACACACCCTACTTGGCCCTAAATATATTCAAAACTATTTCATATTATTAAAAAAAAAAAAAAATCCCGTCTGGGCATGGTGCCCCACACCTGTAATTACTTTGGGAGGCCAAGGTGGCAGGACTGCTTAAGGCCAGGTGTTCAAGACTGGTCTGAGCAATACATCAAGACCCCACCTCAAAAAACAAAATACAAACAAAAAAAAGCCTGTAATCCCAATACTTTTGGGAGGTCACGGTGAGAGGACTGCTCGAGCCCAGAGTTTGAGACCAGGCTGGGCAACATAGTGAGACTGTCTCAACAAAAAAAAAAAAAAAAAAAAAAAAAAAAACACCACCAAATTAGCCAACTGTGGTGCATGTTTGTAGTTCCAGTTACTTGGAAGGCTGAGGTGGGAGAACTGCTTGAGTCCAGGAGGTTAAGGCTATAAGCTGTGATGGCACCATTGCATGCCAGAGTGACATAGTGAGAACCTGTCTCACACACACAAAAAACAACTATATAGATAATCATAAAAGGAACAATTATCACATTATACTGTTAAATTCAAATTATAATTTACTGGGAACAAATTATATTCTTGATTGCAGCACTTTCAGTACTAGTGGGCATTAATGTTTTAGCTAAAAAAGATCAATTAGTTTTCCTTTACATGAGCTTTTTGTCAAAGTGGACTTTTGTTGCCTTTACGGATCATAAAATTAATGCAAACTTATTTTAAAAACCCAAACCCAGGGCCGGGCGCGGTGGCTCAAGCCTGTAATCCCAGCGCTTTGGGAGGCTGAGGCAGATGGATCACGAGGTCAAGAGATCGAGACCATCCTGGTCAACATGGTGAAACCCCGTCTCTACTAAAACTACAAAAAATTAGCTGGGCGTGGTGGTGCGTGCCTGTAATCCCAGCTACTCAGGAGGCTGAGGCAGGAGAATTGTCTGAACCCAGGAGGCGGAGGTTGCGGTGAGCCAAGATCACGCCATTGAACTCCAGCCTGGGTAACAAGAGTGAAACCCCGCCTCAAAAAACAAACAAACAAACAAACAAACAAACAAACAAAAAAACCCAAACCCAAAAACCATATACGTAAAGAAATTGAAACTTCCAGGATTTCCTGTTTCAAAGACAAATATGTGTGTATCTGTGAGAGAGAAAAAGAGGAGGAAGAGTAAATGTTTATCTTTAGGAAACATTTTTTAAAAAATGTTTATTTTTAGGGATAAAGGTAAAACACCTACTCTTCTTCCTCTTTTTCTCTCTCACAGATACACACATTTGTTTTCAAAATATGTTCATTAAAAAAAGTACTATAAATGTCTACACACTAAGCTATTTACACAAATAACCTATCTATCTGATTTTAGTCTAATGGGTTAAAACTACAGAAAAAAAAGAAATAACTGTCAATGATTTTTTTTTTTTTAAATTTAGGAGACAGGCCTTTCTCTGTTGCTCAGGGTACAGTGCAGTGGCGTCATTATTATAGCTCACAGTAGCCTCAAACTCTTGGGCTCAAGCAATCCTCTTGCCTCAGCCTCCTAAGTATCTGGGACCACAGGTGTGTGCCACAGACCTAGATATATTTTTGTTTTACCTTTTAATAGCTTTCATAGAATACATATTCAATATTGGATTTAAAATAGATTTAAGGACCAAATAGTTGTATAAAACTAGGGGGAAAACGGCTGCAGATATGATTCTATGATGGAGAGATCTGATGCTTATATATTAACCATGTGGCCATGCTTTCCACAGCCAATACTGGAACAATTTGTCTTTTCTTCTTTCAAGAAGACAGGAGATTGCTCTGTTGCCCATAGCTCACCATGGCCTCCACCTACTGGACTCAAGCAATCCTCCTGCCTCAACCTAAGTAGCTGGGATTACAGGTACATGACACCACACCCAGCTTTTTTATTTATTTTTGTAGTGACAGGGTCTCACTATTTTGCCCAGGCTAGTCTTCTGGACTCAAATGAGCCTCAGCCTCCCAAACTGTTGGGATTACAAGTGTGAGCCACTACATTCAGCTAATCTGTCATTTGTAAGATGCAGTGTGAGGTTCAAAACATCACCTATATCATGCTCCTTTCAGAAATGTTAGACCTGAATCTAAGCATGGATTAACAAAATAGCTGAATTAAACTTGCCAAAGGAGTCAATGTCAAGAACTGCAGAGGAAGGCAGTAGAATGCTTTAGATGGAGGAAGACCAAAGACACATAACAGCCAAAAGTAATGTGTGAACCTTGACTGAATCTTCGACCAAAAGGCAGGGAAAACAGATACACACAGGCAGAAAGAACATATTTGGGAAAATGGTATTTTATGTTGAGTGTTATTATCAAATTCATTCTCATTTCTTTGATGCAGTAATAGTGGCAAAGCTGTGAAGGCAAACATTCTAAAGATATATATCAAAGTATTTAGGGGTAAAGCAGCATGTTTGAAAGTTATCTTCTCATGATTTGACAGAAGAAAAGAGAGATAGGATAAAAAGAGGGAAAAAGGAAAGAAGGATGAAGAAGTAGAGAGACAGGTAAGACAAGACAAGAAGGGACAGAAAGGAAAGGAAGCAGCAAAAGAGAGGAAAAAAGAGGACAGAGGAAGGAAAAGGGGAGGGGAGTGAGGGAGAAAGTTTGAAAAGATGTTAACAAGTGGAGAATATGTTAATAAATGTGGAAACATAAAGGTATTTATTATGCTGTTTATTCTGTTCCTTACATTTTTATGTGACTTAAAAAAACTTTTCAAAATACAAACTATAAAAACAGATCGGAGTTTAAAACACAAATGATCAAATTATTTACATAAGAAAAGCTAAAGGAAGAAAATTATGTATGGAACACAAAATGAATTAGGAAGTAGTGAGAAGTGAACATTCGTATCTGAAAGAAGTTTAGGAGAAAATCTTCCTATGTAATAAAAGGATGGGTACCTTTAACTCAAAATAACCTGAATTAGGTAATTGACTTGTAGTTAAACTTCAATGCTAATTTTGGCTTTAATCAACCATACACTCCCAAAAAAACCTCACCTTCCTTACAGAGCGGGACTTTATTCTATATCTTTTCAAAAAATAGGAATTTTTTTTTTGTTCTCTAGTCTTAATTTTAGCCTTTCTGAACACCACACCTAGATTATCACATTTTTGGAAAGGTAAAGCATTAAATTGCAACCACTACAAAAATCAAACTCAAAAGCATTTTCAAAGCTTTCTCTATGAACACTAAAATTTAAATTTCATATTTTGTGTTGCGTGTTTATTCTTTTTTTTTTTTTTTTTTTTTTTTTTTTTTTTTTTTTTTGAGACAGTGTCTGGCTCTGTGCAGACTGGAGTGCAGAGGTGTGATCTCGGCTCACTGTAACCTCTGCCTCTAGGGCTTAAGTCATCCTTCCACCTCAGCCCCCCAAGTAGCTAGGACTACAGGGGTGCACCACCATGCCCAGCTAATTTTTGTATTTTTGTAGAGACAGGGTCTCCCCATGTTGCCTAGGCTGGTCTGGAACTCCAGGGCTTAAGCAATCGACCCACCTTCACTTCCCAAAGTGCTGGGATTACAGGCATAAGCCACCGTGCCAAGCCTATTCTTTTTTTTGAGACAGTTTTTCGCTCTTGTTACCCAGGCTGGAGTGCAATGGCGCGATCTCGGCTCACCGCAACCTCTGCCTCCTGGGTTCAGGCAATTCTCCTGCCTCAGCCTCCTGAGTAGCTGGGATTACAGGCACGCGCCACCATGCCCAGCTAATTTTTTGTATTTTTAGTAGAGATGGGGTTTCACCATGTTGACCAGGATGGTCTCAATCTCTTGACCTCGTGATCCACTGTGCCCGGCCCAAGCCTATTCTTAAAAGAAATTTTTTTAAAAAAAATTCTAAAAATGTCAAAACAGGCATCAGGCCAAATTTGGCCTATAGACCACAGTGTGGTCATCTCTTACACAGACTCTTTAATTACTTGAAATCCTTACATTAAAACCCAATAGCTTTAAATGCAAACTGGCATCCTGGATTATTAGATCCTACAACAGAAAAAAGATATTACTGGAAAACGTGTGAAATCTGCCTAAAATCTCAAGTCTAGTTAGTAGTACTATACTAATATTAATCTTTTTAGTTTTGAAATGTATCATGGTTATGTAAGATGGTTGCATGAAGGGAAGCGGAGGAATTACAGAACTCTTCCATAAGTCTAAAAATATTTCAGAGTAAAAATTTTTTTTAAAAAAAGCAATAGCTTACAATCAGGAGATCTTTATATCTTCTGGATATATCAGTGTTGTCCCAATAGAACTTTCGATAATAACAGAAATGTTCAAATCTTTGCTGTCCAGTATGGTAGCTACCAGCCTCAAGTGTTTTTTAAGCACTTGAAATATGGATAGCCTAAGAATTTATTTTTAAAATTTTCATTAATTTAAATATAAAATGCACACATGATTACTGGCTACCATATCAGACTGTGTAGTTCTATTTTTAAAATAATTTTAGAAATAAAAAAGATAATCAGAAATAAAACTGAATTTTAAAAATCTCTGTTATTTAGTATTTGAAATAAATGTAAACTTTTGGTGACATTATCTTATTAAAGTAAAACGTAAGAGACTGCTGAAAGAGAAAAATATGCCTAGGCCAGGCGTGGTGCCTCATGCCTGTAATACCAGCAGTTTGGGAGGCCAAGGCGGGCAGATCACCTGAGGTTGGGAGTTCAAGACCAGCTTGGCCAACACGGTGAAACCCTGTCTCTACTAAAAATCCAAAAATTAGCTGGGAGTGGTGGTACATGTCTGTAATCCCAGCTAATAGAGAAACTAAGGTGGGAGAATCATTTGAACCTGGGAGGTGGAGGTCTAGCCTGGGTGACAGAGCCTCTGTCTCAAAAAAAACAAAACAAAGAAAAAAACATGCCTGACCAGAAGACTTATGTATGGAAAATTAAATAAAAATCTATTGTAGCTTTTTAAAAGATTTTTTAAAGCTCACCATACTAAACACAAATAATACAACAGCATCTGAGTTACCTGAATCCAACAATCTTTGTCTATATTGCCCAGTAAGAGAGTACAAACATTAGAAAATGACCAAGAATTGTCACATCACTTGTGCAAATGAGCAGCTGCAGAATGTCCAAAAATATAAACTCACCTGAGGGACTTGGAGCAGGTCTCTGTAATGGTGGTCTAAAACCTGGAGCTTTGGAAGTATCAGACTGATGTAAATGATCTGAATTTGGCAAATATGAGGATTTTCCTGATAGCATAGATTCTGGTGTTGACTGAGATGAAACAACAGATCCTCCCCAGAAGGCATGAGCAGAAGTAGGGCTGTTTTCAAACAATGTGCTAAAGGGCCCAAATGGTAAGGGGGCACTGAAATTGGGAGCAATAGGCTTATTTGCAGGATGTACTGAATTCTGACAAGCACTTTGTGTACTTAAGGTCGAAGGTAGCTGGACAGAAGAGGGAACACTGTGAGGTCTTTTAATGTGATTGACACTGATGACTGCAACAGATGAATTTTGCACTGAAGCTGAATTCTTGTGAGGGGCAGTTGTGCCATGAGGGGGTGGTCTAATAGCAGGGGTTTCCATTTTAGGAGCAGGCTGGGGGCATCCCATTTGTGTCTGAGGCATAGGGTAAGTCACTGGGGCAGTAGAAGGCACCGCCACTGGAGCAGAACTTGTTGCTAAAGGAGGAACAGTCATTCTAACTTCCGGGGGAGGAACCTGAGACTGCTGAAGAGGTGGTCTTGGTTCCTGAGAAACAGATCCCGGAGGTTGTTGCTGATTAGAATGAGCTGATGAACTCCCAGAAGAACTGCTGCTGTTTGGAGGTCTAGTGTTTGTTGTTTCTACTACTGGTGGACTACCTGCTTCCTGTTCAGAGGAAGATGCCACTTTATTTGGAGATGCTGATCCACAATCCAAAGGGCTGTTTCTAGAAACCCCTCCTGGCTGGGCTGGTGGTGATGGGGAAGATGGGGATGATACTGGATAGTGTTCTTTGGCAGTAGGCATAGGATATGTGGCATTTGTGGGTGCAGTACTGTTGTTGCTTGCCGTGGTTGTGACTGTTGTTGTGGTGGCATTGGATGTCTTCACAACTGTGACAAAAAGCTGCCTTCGGACAGAAGGTGAACTTGGACTGCCATTTGTAGATGTACCAGGCACCGTTGAAGCTGATGAACTGGTTGTAGTTGTTGGGCTTGAAGTTAAAGAACCTGCTGAATTCACCTGAGAACCACTGCTGTTCTGATTGCTATGGCGAGGCACCATGTGAGGCTTAGGCGAGTTAGTAGCTCTGGCAGGGCTCAAAGGCCTGACAGGAAAAGGACCCCAAGTGGATTGAGCTGGTGGAAAAGTACCTCCAAAGTGGGTCATGGGCAACCTTGGTGGACGGATCTGCTGGAAAGTCTGAGCAGCAAGCAAAGCATGTGCAAACTGTGGAGGAGGATATGCTAATGGAAGAGAAACTGGAAAACCAGGCCTCACATTATTCACTGGGTTCTTAATGGTTTTGTGAGTGGATGCAGAAGAAATTGCAGGCACAGTGAGTGCTGTGGCAGTTTGAGATGTTGATGACAGAGCTACAGTTGTCATTTTAATTCCCATTAAGGAACTGTTAGCAGCAGTGGTGGTAGGTGCTGATGACCCTATTTTGGAATTTGCTGAGGAGCTTTTCAAACGATTCTTTGGAATAAGTTCATCAATTTCTTTGTCTGGATCCTTGATCAAAGCATTAATCAACTGAGTTGCTTGTCTTGTTGATTCAGTGCCACCCCTATAAGTTGAGAAAAAAAAGTTAGGTAGAATTTTCCCTACTTTTGTATGCAAAGCCTTTTTTAATATGTATGTATGTACACACACACACACACAAACACACACATTGGTGTACATACATACACACATACAAAGGACAGATAACAAAAGCTGAGCAGCAATTTTCTTACCATTCTTGAGATATTCTATAAACAAAGCACTAAATTGTCCTGAATGACTATTTTTCAGAGAAATAGTAAATGGCTTATTTTTCAAAAATACATTTCACTATTGTTTGCTTAGACTAATAAAATCACTTTCCTACTGTAAAATACGCTACAGTTAGAAAAATCACTGCACACAAAAGCCTATGTAATCTACAATGTTACTGAAACATTTGATTAAAACTAAAAATATTGAAACTGAATCAACACTAAAAATATATAAGTAAACAAGGAAAATAATACAACTGAGTAAGAAAACAGTATTTTATTTTAAATTCTGGTATCTAGGATGACTCCATATACTACAAATTCATTAGTAGTTTGTCTATTAGTAGGATAATTACTGTTAAGTCCTCTGGGAAGATGGCTTAAAATGAGGGGGGAATCCTGATAGTGCCAACAATAGCTATATAAAACCTTAATGCTGGATCTTCAGGAAAACATTTGATATTTATGGAAACTCAAGGGAGAAAGGAAAACATTTGATATTTATGAAACTCACCCATAAAGGCTATCTAGTTGCCTATTTTTTTTTAAATTTTGTTTTTTTTATATGGGAGTTCAGGAGGAATGGTTCCCACTTTTTTAGATAAGATACGCTGGGGCTACTCAACTCCACAGGGAAAAACAATTTAAGAAGACAATGAATAAAATACAGAGATTGCTACTTGCTTTCTTATTTTTGAGGTACGATATACCTATTAGCCCTTCCATATACTGCAAAGGGGCATCTGCCTCACACAAACAAACTTATAACTGCCATCTAAAAAATATAAAACTCTTTTTCAAAGAAACTTGAATTTGCTTTAAAGTAATTAAAAATAGCTTTCTATATTCTTACGATTTCTTATAACATCACTTTTAAGAATATTCGGGCATAGATATATTCGATGAGTTATTCAAGATAACTTATGTCACCACTTCAGATTCAAATCTGGCTCAAATTCTAAATATACAATCTCAGAATAACAAATCTCAAAGGTAATTTGAGAAGGACAATAACCCGCTGCTTAAAATGATGGAAACTCAGCCGGGCGCGGTGGCTCAAGCCTGTAATCCCAGCACTTTGGGAGGCTGAGGCGGGTGGATCATGAGGTCAGGATATCGAGATCATCCTGGTCAACACGGTGAAACCCTGTCTCTACTAAAAATACAAAAAATTAGCTGGGCATGGTGGCACGTGCCTGTAATCCCAGCTACTCAGGAGGCTGAGGCAGGAGAATTGCCTGAACCCAGGAGGCGGAGGTTGCGGTGAGCCGAGATCGTGCCATTGCACTCCAGCCTGGGTAACAAGAGCGAAACTCCGTCTCAAAAAAAAAAAAAAAAAAAAAAAAAAAGATGGAAACTCCCTCCCTAAAAGTCTCAGAACAAATTTTTAAGCATGTCACATAAACAGTTTATGTACAGAAACTGTTTATTTAAACCTTTGCTACACATGCATACAAAATTCCTGTAATACTCTCTAAAACACTCCACAAAAGTATATTAACTAGGAAAAAAGAAAACTATAAGGTTTATCTTCTCAAATACCAATAAAATTCCCATTTTAAAAAGTACATTATTTAATACAAAGTTCCACTGAAAACTTATATGGCTATATTTCTTTAACCTATAGTGCAATAAAATAAAGGAAAAAATAAGAGAGACAAAGTTTTGCCTTATAGTGATTATCCGGTCTCCAGTCTTGTCTTTCTGTTTATCGATATCTATGTGTGCACCAGTAAATTCCCGAATGGCATTGATATTACAGCCTCCTCTTCCAATCACTCTGGATATCACAGTTGATGGAACAGATACTTTTTTTGACCTGTTTAAAAGTGGTAAATATAAATTAAGATTAATCATTAACAATAGTAGTTGTAATCTTAAAAAGGAGAAAGAGTATTACTAAAATGTTTTTTCTTTTAAGTATGAACTATTGTTGAATAAGCCTCTTCTATTTACTCTTACTCTAGATGAACAGAGACAAGGCAATCAGGAGCAACAGACAAACTTTATTACAGCTTCTCATCTCACTATCAAAGATTGTTTGCTTTGTTAATTATCATTTTCACTTGTATCCGTAAAGCAGATACTATGCAGATATGCACTGTGCTAATGCAAATACTAATGGTAAATAAGATAGGCATGGGTTTCTGCCCACACATATTGACTATGTACACAGTAATTATGAAAAAAACACCACCATGTCATGAGTGTTGCAATAGTATGTGTGTACACACATATATATATGCTGGTTGGGCATCTAATTAAGCCTCAAGAGTCAAGAAAGACTTCTAGTGGGTCCCTTTTGGTGCTTTACTCATGCTTCTTTTTACTCTCTAATATATATAACCCAAAGAATGATATTAAAAATTCAGGACCAGGCATGGTGGCTCATGTCTGTAATTCCAGCACTTTGGGGGCCAAGGCAGGCAGATCACTTGAAGTCAGGAGTTTGAGACCAGCTTGACCAACATAGCAAAACCTCATCTCTACTAAAAAAAAAAAAAAATACAAAAATTAGCCGGGCATGGTGGGATATGCCTGTAATCCCAGCTACTCAGTAAGCTGAGGCAGGAGAATAGCTTGAATCTGGGAGGTGGAGGCTGCCATGGGCTGAGATCATGTCACTGCATTCCAGCCTGGGCAACAGAGCAAGACTCCATCTCAGGAAAAAACAAAAGAAAAATTCACTATTTCCCTGTATTCTTCTAGTGGCATTAAAATGACTATCCACAAATATGAAAACTTGCTAAAATGTTTAATAATATGTGGAAAAAGAAAATTCTACTAGAATTTGAAAAGCAAAATCTGAGGCTGGGCAGGGTGGCTCAAGCCTGTAATTCCAGAACTTTGGGAGGCCGAGGTGGATGGATCGCCTGAGGTCAGGAGTTCGAGACCAGCCTGGCCAACATGGTAAAACCCCATCTCTACTAAAAAATACAAAAAATTAGCTGAGTGTGGGGCAGAGAGACTGAGGAAGGAAAATCACTTGAACCTAGGAGGGAGAAGAAGTTGCAGTGAGCAGAGATTGCACCACTGCATTCCAGCCTGGGCAACAAAATGAAACTGCATCTCAAATAAAAAACAAAAAAAGCAAAATCCATCCAATACTTGCAAAATTACATTTTAATTTTAAACATTCAGGTTCAGGAAAGGTACAGATTTCCTTTTTTTTTTTTTTTGTTGACAGAGTCTTGTTCTGTCACCAAGGCTGGAATGCAGTGTGATCATAGCTCACTGCAGCGTCGAACTCCTGGGCATGAGCAATCCTCCCACCTCAGTTCCCCAAGGAGCTGAGATTACAAGCACGAATCATATGCCCAGCTAATTTTTACTGTTCTTTATATATATAACTTAGTTACCTGACAATTCTTTTTTCCCTAAAGGGCATGATAATCAGCCAGTGACCATAATTTTCAAATTAGTGAAAAACTTATTTGTATAACACTAATTAAACATTAAATGCATATACAAAAACCAAATTATCTTATTATTCGATAGAGAATATTCTGATTATATGATTTCAAGCAGTCTAATAGAGTGTGTATGTGAAGGGGTCAGAGAGAGAATATGTGTGTAGTGTGTGAAGACAGAGACAGAAATAAACATAGATATGACAGGGACATGATTTGGTCCAAAATTAGGATGAAATAAACCAAAAAACTATATACTGCACTTAGGGATTAACAGTACTAAGTTTGGTTCACTATAGCTTTTGTTTCAGATAACCAAAAGTTTAAATTTTTGTAAAATTTCTGGAAAGTTCTTTAAAATAAGTTATCAAAGAGTTACAATGGATCATATTCTTTCTGGATTTCAGGTGTCTAACTCCTTTTAAGTTTCTGATATTGTATTCCTACTCTTTGATGCATATTATTTTTAAAATCCCAAGCAAAACAAAATATTTTTAACCTGTAACCCTTGAAATAAAGTTATCCTATGATTTAAAGACAACAGTTATTATTAGATCAAGAGTATTCATTCATCAAATGTTTACAAGTAGCTTTTACAATATTTCTTTGTATTATATAAGGCTTTGAGATAACAAAGCTGAAAAAGACACAATCTAAAATAGTTCTTAAAGCAAACTCCAATACTTTTGAGGGGCCAAATTAACATGTATTTTTTTTTCCCATCTGAAATATGGCACAGGCTTTCTCTGTTGGTCAAATTTAGCCTTGAACCATCAGCTTGTTTGCAATGTTTAAAATAGGAGAAATTTAGTTAAAAGGTAAATAACACTTCACTGTAATATAAACCACACAGAATGAGAAAAACAAATACTCACCTTCTTACAACTTCTTTCCATCCTTCTTCCCTCTTTTGCCCACGCTTAGGACTTGCTACTGTTAACTTCCCATTTGGAGAGGAAAGGGGAGATGGACCAGATTTTGTACAAGTAGATAGAGAATTACTGGTCCCTTCGTTGACAGTCTCTGACAATCTTTAACAGACAGAGGGAAAGTACATTGAATATGGAACAGATGTAGAATTTTTAAATGATAAAGGTAGTCTACTACACAATTTTTTAAAATTTATTTTTAAATAACAAATGAGGACCTTACTTTTCACTTCTCAATATTTAGCATATAATATAAACAGCCAATTTTATTTTTTTCTTTCTGAGACAGGTCTCACTCTGTTACCCAGGTTAGAGTACAATGACAGTTCACTGCAGCCTTGACCTCTTGGGTTCAAGGTGATGCTTCTGCCTCAGCCTCCTGAATAGCTGGGACCACAGGCAGATGGCATCACATCAGCCAATTAAAACAAAAAATTATTTGTAGAGACAGGGTTTCCCTATGTTGTCCAGGCTGGTGTTGAACTCTTGGGCTCAAGCAATCTTCCTACTTTGGCCTCCCAAAGAGCTAGTATTACAAGCATGAGGCATTGCACTCAACCTAAAGAACCAACTTTAAGAAGATACAGCCAGGCGCGGTGGCTCAAGCCTGTAATCCCAGCACTTTGGGAGGCCGAGGCGGGTGGATCACGAGGTCAAGAGACCGAGACCATCCTGGTCAACATAGTGAAACCCCGTCTCTACTAAAAATACAAAACATTAGCTGGGCGTGGTGGCGCATGCCTGTAGTCCCAGCTACTCAGGAGGCTGAGGCAGGAGAATTGCCTGAACCCAGGAGGCGGAGGTTGCGGTGAGCCAAGATCGCGCCATTGCACTCCAGCCTGGGTAACAAGAGTGAAACTCCGTCTCAAAAAAAAAAAAAAAAAAAAAAAAAAAAAAAAGAAGAAGATACAATCTAGGGGACACATTTAGCAGAGTTGAATCACAGTAATAATCCCTTTGAAACCATAATCAATTTTCATGTGCTAAATTTAACAACCAAAAAAAAAGGAATTACACAGTAAAAATAATTTGTTGTCTAACTAGTACAAAATCTAAATAAAAACTTATTCTTCAATTCAATTGAAACTATACCTTCTTTAGCACAAAGGAAAATTCTATTTTGTAAGGTGCAAATTTGCTTGCTTTACCAAAAACATTCAGCAGTAAGATATTTCATGATGACACTATATACATTAAAAATAAAAATTGGAACTAACTTTATTGAAGCCTTGCCAGAAACAGATTTTCTCTCTTCCTTTGGAAATGTAACAAGAACTGATGGCTGCTTTTTGCTGCTCACAGTGGTAGTGACGACAGCTGGTGAATGATTGTCACTCTTTCGGCTGCTGTTGCTGTTACTACTTTCATCACTGCAGCTGGAAATCCTCATGTTATCACTGTCCCCACTCTCGCTGGTACTGCTGCTCTTGGACTCTCCATTCACCTTCTCTGGCTGACTGTATGAAATTGGTAGTGGATCATCAAATATAATTTGAACGTTTTCTGGAGTAATTTTATTTTTCCTGTTTTTCCTCTTTGAACTGGTTGTAGTGATGGTATTATTTCTTTTACCATGGGAACCTGCCAAAGTTGTCCAGGTTGCAGATATACCTATGGTAGTAGTGGTTGTGGCACTTGGAGGCTCTGTCAAGACTTCAGGCTCATCTGTAAAAGTAGCAATAATACTGAATTAGCAAGTTCTAAGTATTCCCAGAATGTATTTAACTAAGTACTTGAAGAAAAGAAAAACCCTGGAGTGTTATTCCACTACTATTAGCCATTTAAGTTACTCCCACATTCACTGGTAATGAGCTGGATATGACTGATATACTCTGTGTCCCTACGTCCTGTTCAAAGAATAGAGGATAGCTATAAAAAATATTTTGGGGACAGATTGGAAAAGAAAGGTATGTACTGTATATTACATATTATTATATAATTATTAAATTTCTTAAGTATAATAATGTTGTCCAGTTATATAAATAATGCCCTTTTTCTGGGAGATACATAATCAAGTATCTAGGGATGATTTCACATCTTGTGTATAGCTTACATGCAAACTACTTAAAAAAGAGAATGCACATCCCACATGTGGCAAAATGTTTTAAAAATGTAGGTGACATAGAGGTGTTCACCATATTAGTCTTTAAACTCTTCTGTAGTTCGAAAATTTTCAAAATAAAACTCTGGAGAAGGGGGAAATTAAAACACACAAACACACCCTGCGTGCACATATTTTTGGTGCAATGGTTCCTTCCCACAATACAGTCAGTCCTCTCTTTCCACAGATTTGACCACCAGCTTGAAAGTATTAGAAAAACAAAACAATAAAAGATAATATAAATAAAAAAAGCAGCATGACTGTTTACATAGCATTTACATTATATTGGGTATTAGAGATGACTTAAAGTATATGAAAGAATGTGCATAATTTGTATGCAAATATTATACCATTTTATATAAAAGACTTGAGTATCTGAATTTTGGTATTCATGAGGGTCCTGGAAACCATCCTCTGTGGATATAAGGGGACAGGATCACTATACTTCCATCTCAAATAACCTTTTGATTACCCTAGCTAAAAATAATTCCTTCACTTGAAGAAATCTAACTATAGTCTGGATTGTAGATATTATGAAATTACCATTTATAATACCTAAAATGGTTATGATGATTCAAGCAAATGTCATTCTTGGGAGGTGGGCTTTATTTGTAGATGCCCAGCGCGATGGCTTGACGCTTATAATCCCAGATATTTGGGAGGCTGAGGGATGGGAGAGGAATCACTTGAGATCAGAAGTTAGAAACTAGCCTAGACAACTTCGCAAAACCCGGTCCCCACTAAAAATACAAAAATCAGGACGCCGGAGCCGTTGCGGGGCCGCGTGGAGTGCGCGCGTGATGATCTCCAGTACAGGACGCCGCACGGGCCTCCCGGATGCAAGCGGCACGCTGCCTGGTCCTGGGCGCGGATCGGACGAGCAAGTGGACTAGCAAGCTTCACAGGCCACAAGGGCAGGGGCGCTAAGGGCACCTACGTTCTTGCCGCAGGCTGGAGATTCATGCAGATCAAGAAGGTACCAGAGTTCATAGTCCTGGATCTGACCGGCTTCAAGTTCAAGCCCTACGTGAACTACCGCGCCCCTGATAGCCAGCCATGCTGCTCTTCAGCGAAGCCGTGGCGCCTGCCATCGAAAAGGACTTCAAAGACGGCACCTTCGACCCTCACAACCTGGAAGAGTACGACTTCGAGCCCACACAGAGGACAAGCTCTTCCAGCTATACCACAGAAACTAACTGCGCTAGAGGAGGAGTATGAGTGGGGGCTGGAAGCTAGAGGCATCCCCGGGGAGGGGCGGCCTGCCCTCATCTCATTTCTATTAAAGGTCTTTGCCAGCTAAAACAAAAAAAACAAAACAAACAAAACAACAAAAATTAGCTAGACATGGTAGCGCTTGCCTACCCAGCTACTCGGGATGCTGAAGTGGGAGAATAGCTTGAATCCTGGAAATGGAGGTTGCAGTGAGCCAAGATGTGCCACTGCACTCCAGCCCGGCAAAAGAGCAAGACTTTATCTTATAAAAAAATGTATTTATAGATGCAATGTTAAGATGTCTGCAATTAATTTTCAGATGGCTCAGAAAAAAAAAATGTGTAATTAAAGAGAAAAATAAAGCAAATATGCTAAAATGTTAACAATTTTGTTAATCTAGGTGGACTGTATTCCAGTATTCATTTTATCATCTGTTGATTTGTCTGCAGGTTTGAAATTTTTCATGATACAGTGAGGGAGGAATTCAGTCAACAAAGAAAAAAATACATGTATCTTTTCTTTTTTTGGACACACGGTCTTACTCTGTCACTCAGGCTGAAGCGTAGTGGTGCCAGATCATGTCTCACTGCAGTCTCAACCTCCCCTGCTGAAGCGATCTTCCCACCTTATTTCCCTACCCCACCCCCCAATCCTCAGTAGCTAGCTGGGACTACAGGAGTGTGCTACTGTGCCCAGCTAATTAAATAATTTTTTCTTTTTTTCTTTTCTTTTTTTTTTTTTGGGTAGAGACAGTCTCACTTTGTTGCCCAGGCTAGTCTCGAACTCCTAGACTCAAGTGACTGTCCCACCTTGAACTGCCACAAATTACTGGGATTACAGGCATGAGCCACTATGCCTGGCCTATCTCAAGGGCTTAATAACATAAAACTCTATTTTCAAGAGTGAATAATAATAAAGTAAATACAATTTTAATTAGAATATAAAACAAATGGGATGGTTAAGAGAGAATACCTTCAACTTTAAGCTTTTCTTTTTCTTGAGCAGCTTGGAGTTCAAAGTTCTCTTTATTTTTGGCTTCAATTTCTTCTAGTTTTCTTCTTTGTTCTTCCTTTTTCTTCCTTCTCTTCTCCTTTCTTTTTTCTCTTTTTGCAGCCAAAGCCAGCCTCCGACTTTCTTCCCTTAACTGTTAAAGATCAATAAAGCAGAAATATAATGTTGAAATTTACCCTGAAGAAAAAGTTGTCACATAAGGAAACCATGATATCATAAAATTCAAAGTCACCTAGTTCAATTCATTGTTTTATCAAGATCATATTCAAACTACTATAAAGAGACAATATTTTTACAATATCAAGATAAATTAACAATATAAGACTAAGTTTAAAATGGGTAAATAATAGATAATAGCTTTTAATCGTTAAGGAAATGTAAGTTGAACTGATAAAGTACCATTTAAGATCACTAATTTGGCAAAATTTAAAAAGGCATCAGATATCAGCACAAGTTTGAAAAACTGAGTTCTCTCCTGCTGTGGGCATGAATATTTACATTTTACAAAAAGTAATCTGAAAGCCTCCCAACAAAAATTACAAACTGCTTATCCTAACAACTTATTCTATAAAATGTCTATCTCTAGTGAAAAAACATAGCTTCAGCAATTTTCCTTGCAAATTGATTATAATGGCAATAAATGGAAACAAGGTAAATCTATCAATGGGAAGGAATAAATAACTAGTATAAATTCACAGACTACTAGACAGTCACCAAAAATATTATAAATATATACTTGGGAAAGTGCTCCCAATTTACATTTGTTAGGAGAAAAAAAGGGAAACTGAAGACTAATAATAATCACTTTTATGAGGGAAGAAAACCCTTTTTGTGCATCTATTTGTATAAATATAGAAAAAAAAATGTAAAAGTTATTTTCCTTCTTGGTTCATAAAGGAATGAAAATCATCTTCAAACTGTCTACATGTCTATGTGTGTGTGTGTGTGTGTGTGTGTGTATATATATATATATATATATATATATATATATATATACAGAGAGAGAGAGAGAGACAGAGAGAGAGAAAGAGAGAGAGAGAAAGAGAGGTGGGGGGAAGACAGAGACAGACACACAGGGTTTTTCCATGTTGGTCAGGCTGGTCTTGAACTCCTGACGTCAGGTGATCCACCCGCCTCGGCCTCCCATAGTGCTGGGATTACAGGCTTAAGCCACCATGCCCGGCCTAAAACATTTTTAAAAACTATTCTCCACCCATAATCTAGCATTCTGAATTTATTATATGTGTATTTTAAATGTGTCAAAACAGTGTCAGTTAAGGGATGGAGCAACATGTAAAACCAGTCCTCACAAATTCATAAGCCAAATAATATTTAGTTTTCATTCAAAACTCTGACTTCATCTTTTAAGTGTTGTGCTTTTGCTAGATACTCTCTTGCCTTTCAAATTAACCCTCTCTTCGGTTTATTTTTTTTTTTTTAAAGCCAAATTTAGCAGTGGGGGGTTGTATACCAACTTTAGTGACACTAACATTAGTAAGTTCTGATAACCCACTACCATCAAACCAGCTCTGTTAGGTTGTATATCAACTTTAGAGACACTAACATTAATAAGTTCTGATAACCTACTACCATCAAACCAGCTCTCTGTTAGGTTCTTCAAGAGTTTGGCCCACCACCAGGTTTTTACGCCCTGGGGCAATGCGACATACTTACCCTAGGCTAGATGACAGATAAGTCTTGTTCCTGAAAAGGGAAACAGTGAAGGAGAATCTGCAGGTAGAATACCCATACTTGCTTAGGAACACTCATTTTAGGAAAGAATGCATCTAAAAGTTAAAGATACAGAAACTGCCTACATCGTAACCCTGGAAATTTCTGCTGGACTCCCAGACATATACAAGCTCCAGTCTGAAGATCAGTAAAGGAGGCGCTTTCGCCCCTGCTGAAGTATTAGGAAGAAAACAGTAATTGGTGACCTTTACTCTCTGGATCACCACAAGGGAGGAGTAATATCTGATTGGTGAGTTTGAAAGAAGCAATTGAGCATGTGTGACTCAGCTTATTTGAGCCTTGTTCTCCACGTGAACCCCAATGAAGGAGGAAGAAGTGTGGTTGTTCTGTCTAGCTTGGACTGTGGAACCGGTAAGTAAGTATAAGAGGGAGAGGAGGAGGAAAGCCAAGGTGAAATGTGCATCAGAAAAACATTATCAAAGCAGCTATGGCTACAGATGTGTATTAAGTCTACTTCAGAATTAGGAATAACAAAACCAGTATTTTATCTGTATCATATCTATACGGACATAAAATCTTGGGAAAGTAATGGTTTGGGGGAGGCTCAAAATAGCAAATGAAGTTTAGGGTTTTGCCTCATCCATGACGGTTTTTTTTCATTTTGCTGCATTTTTTAACTTGTCTGGTAGCAGGAGCTAATTATGATTGCTATTTAGGTGGGAGTGGGGTGGGGGCTGGGGGTGGAGAACTTTTTTAAAAGTATAAGAGTTTTAATTCAGAAAGCAGGATTTCACTTAAGTTCCTATGTCCTAGATGTGGATGGATCTGGGGTGGTAGGTCTGCATAGGTCATAGGATGTGGCTGGGTCTTAGACATGCAAATTTATCACTGCTTATCTGCTTATAGAGTCAGTTAGGGGTGGCCCTTTGGCAAGAGTGAGTTTGGATCATAAAACTTCAGAGTTTAACTCTAAGAGGTAAGTATTTACTTGTTTCTAAATTTTGAGACTTTAATGATGGTATTTTGATAATCCGATATATTTTACTAACCCTTTGAATTCACTAAGAGTAGGGCACTAATTCAGAGGTCCTAGGGAAACTTTCTGGGGGGAGATGGCAGACTACGGCTACAAAAATGACCCAACTTTACATGGCATGGAGCTCTAAAAGTTAGCAGAATTAGCAAGTATGGATCAACAGATACAGGATTTAAGAGACATCACAGGTTTGCAGGTGGTAGCTGAAACTAACAAATGAGGTCACCAGAGGAAAAAGGTGTAACTGTGTGTGGGTGTTTGTGGTGTGTATACATACACACACATACCTATTATTTTACTATATATAATAAAATATATAAATTATATATATATATATATAGAGAGAGAGAGAGAGAGAGAGAGTGTTTATATATATGTGTGCGGGTGACAGAGAGACTATCTAAGGGGTAAAGGAAGAACAAATGAGGCTTCTGAAAGGCATAATCAGATAGAGGAAGACAGAGAGAAGAAAGAGAGAAAGAAAGCCAGATCAACATTGGTAAACCTCACAAAGAGGTGGGTGTCAATAAGAACTGAAAAGAGGTAAATGGATTTGGCGTGCTTTGTTAAGTGAAAAGAAACAAAAAATAAAATAAAATAAAATAAAATAAAGGATTTGTCAGTTAAGATGCCATTGGTTACCTCTACCAGTTAGTTTATTGGAGAAGCCAGGTCACATGGGTCTGAGCTGAGAATTAATTTAAAATAGAGTTAATAAGACACAGATATTATTATAAGGCACTTAAAGAAAAAGAAAATACTAAATTTGAGAAAAAGTTCCCTTAGGACAGAGCTACCCTGACTATACATTTACCTTGACTGAAGCTGTAGGTAGTGGGTAGGAGTTACTAAAAGTAGACACTGAAGATAAAGGTGTAGGGAGAGGTGCTAATAACTGATAGAAAATCCCACAGAGCAAATGGAAACAGATAACTAAACCATGAAGATTCAAATATGTCCAGAGGCTTAAGAAAATAAGGCTAAAAATTCAGTCTCACTGTGTATATTTTTTCTCACTTTCTCTCATAAGCCTAAATCTCATTTTACTTGTTAGAGAACTGCTGTCGTGTTTGTTAGCATATGTGAGGGGAGGTTAGAGGCTTTGAGAAAAAGGATCAAGTTGTAGAATAACCTCACTGTGGAGCAGGAAAGGGCACTTGCGCAACTGGTCATTTCTAATTGAGGGCTCAGGAAACAGAGACACTTGGGAGTTAGGCTTTATAAGATGAGAATTTAAGGACTTGGGGAGAGCCAGTCCAGACTAAACAAATACTGAAGATTTGTAAGTGTATGGGATATGTGAGGAGTGAGGATCATAGTGAAAGATGAGCCTGGAGAAATAAGGGAGACTTGAATGTTTAGAATTTCCTATTCAATCAACGAAGAGGCACCGAGGGTTTCTGAGGAAAAAGTAAGGCATCTCACCTGAGTATTAAAAATCACGTGAAACTGAAAAAGTTACACTGGAACAGAAAAGGAGTACTGAAAACAAAAGATAAGAGAGGGACACAGATATGTATACAGGGAGACTTTTAAGAGGCCAAATGCAAAATTTTGGGTGAAAAGTGATCACTCAGAGAGGAAGTGGATGGAACAGCAGGCAGACACAGACACCACCAAAGCTAAATAAAAGGTGATGGTAATGATGATGATAATAATCTTGATGACAATGCTGATACAGCTAACATACAGAGGGTCTAATACGTGCCAGACACTTGTCTAAGTCAGCTTACCACGTAATTCATTCACTGCATGTAAAGAAACATAGGCAAAAATAACTGAGAACCAAAAGGTGGCATCAAGATTTCATTTCTCAATAAAGAGTAGTAATATCAACAGCAGAAAGAGATCAAGAAGTTTCAAAGGAAGACAGGAGAAGGATCCAACAAAAATTTTTTAGTAACTCGCTATGTGCTATGCATGGTTCTAGTTTTATCAGTAATGTGGATAAAACATCCTTGCCTTCACCAAGTTTACATTTAGCTGGTTAGGGGAGGATGGATACAGACAAATCGAATACATACATTGTAAAGCTTGTTCAAAAGGAAATCAGTACAATGTAAAAAAGGGGAAAGAGGAAAAATGTGTGTATGGAGACAAATGAGTAGTTTTGATTTTTAAATAGGGTAATCAGCGTACCCCTCATGAGATGAAGTGAACACCTGAAGGACATGAAATATTTCAGGCAAAGAGAAGAGCCAGTACAAAAGCTCTAAGTTAGAATTGTACCCAGTATATTCAAGTAAGCTAGTATGGCTGAGAACAGAAGAAAATGAGTTTCAGAGAAAAGTATCAGGAAGCTTTATCACCTAAGGCCTTGCAGAGGATTTTAAAGACTATCTTTTACCAATGGGAAAATGGAGAGTCATTGTTCGGTTCTGAACAGAAGTGTGATATGATTTGAT